GGGGAGGCGGGGCTGGAGGAGCAACCAGGCCTGTCCTGCCCAGGTGACCCGGCGCACGGCCCGGCTGGTGGCTGAGTGGCAGTGTGTCGGCTTCTGCCACGGCGTGCTCAACACGGACAACATGAGCATTGTGGGGCTCACCATCGACTACGGGCCCTTCGGCTTCCTGGACAGGTGGGCAACACCCACTGCGCTGGGCCGGGGCGGGGCCTGCAGGCGCGTGCTGGCTGGTGTCCTCAGCAGTAGAGTCCCTGAAGTGTTTTGAGCAGAGGAAAAGCATTTAAAAGGGTGCTCCATGCCCCTTTGGCTGGTTTGGCTCAGGGTTAGAGCATCAGCTCATGGACCGAAGAGTCGCAGGTTCGATTCCGGTCAAGGGCACATACCTTGATTGCGGTTCATCCCCAGCTCTGGTCAGAGTCATGCAGGAGGCAACCAGTCTATGTGTCTCTCTCACATCAATGTTTCTCTCTCTCTCTCCCTCGCACTCTGTCTGAAGATAAGTGGAAAAATATCCTCGGGTGAGGATTTAAAAAAAAAGGATGCTCCATTCCCAGGGTAGGAATGGACTGAAGGGGCAGGTGGTGTGCAGGCAGAAGGCAGTGCAGTGCCAGCCAGGGGCAGGGCATCCAGGGACAGCGCTGAGGGCTTCTGCTTTTCTGTTCTCGAGGTGGACCCATCAGGGCTGGGGGCTCCTTGAGTGGCAGAGGTGTGTTGAGAACAGCTGCTGGGTCCTTGAGCTAAGCCCATGGGGCCGAGACCCAGGGGACAGGGCGGAACAGCAGCCGCGTGGGTGCTCTGAGCACCCCAGGCCCACAGTCCCCTGGCAGGCCCGGCAGCACCTCCTCCCCCGGTGCAGGTACGACCCCGACCACGTGTGCAATGCCTCCGACAACGCAGGCCGCTACGCGTTCAGCAAGCAGCCTGAGGTGTGCAAGTGGAACCTGCAGAAGCTGGCCGAGGCCCTGGAGCCCGAGCTGCCCCTTGAGCTGGGCGAGGCCATCCTGGCCGCGGAGTACGACACCGAGTTCCACAGGCACTACCTGCATAAGATGCGCAGGAAGCTGGGGCTCGTGCGGTCAGAGCGGGAGGAGGACGCAGTGCTGGTGGCCAAGCTCCTGGAGACGATGCACCTGACCGGTGAGTGGCGGGGGCACACACCACGGTGGGGGCTCAGTTTGCAATGCGGTGGTAAGTACATAAGGGAACTTTGCCCTTTCCACCATTTCTCAGCGTATGTTCTAGTGACATGAGGTATATCACATGGTGGTGCGGCCGTCCCCACCATTCACGTCCGGAACTTTCCACCTTCCCAGCTGAAACTCTGTCCCCAGTAAACACTGAGTCCACATAACCTGCTGGCACCTACCTTCCTGCTTGCTGTCCCTGTGACCTTGACCCCTTCGGGCCTCCTGGAAGTGAGATCCCACAGCAATTGTCCTTTTGTGTCTGGCCAGCGGCACCGAGCATCAGGTCCCCCAGGCCCACCGAGTTGGCTGAGGCGGAGAAGGGCAGTGCTGTCACCCAGGCCTGCTGTGCACTGACGTCTGCCTGTAGCCACTGAGAACAGACGTGCAGATGCCCTCAGTCCTGCACTTGGCGGGGGACCTGGGCGTGCTGACCACCTAGAGCTCTGGCTGGAGCGGGGAACTTCCTGCCCGCCACCCTCCACCCAGAGCGTGGCCTCCCTGTGGGCCTCTCACCATGCCATTGGCAGGTTCTGGTTTTAACGTTTTTACTATTTGCATCAGTTGCGATTCCCACGAGGTCTTACTCCCGGGTTCATGTCCTGTCTTAGTCGGTTTAAACCGCTGTAGTAAACAGCCATGGACAGGGCCTCAAAAAGGAGACACTGTCAGCTCTGGAGGCTGGAGGTCCTGCACAGTGGGTGATGGCCAGGCCGCTTCCTCACAGGTGGCTGTCTTCCTGCTGGGTCCTCACGGGGCAGCATAGGACAGGGTGGACCTTCGTGTCTCTCCTTACATGGACATGAGTCCCATCGCGAGGCCCCACCCTCATGACCTGACTGCTCCCGAAGACCAGGCTCCTGACCCAGTCACACTGAGGCGGAGGTTTCGTGTGTGAATGGGGGACGCAGACATCCAGTCCGTGGACTGGCCCTTGCATCCCCGGGACAGACCCTGCTTGGTCGTCGCCTCTGATCCTTTTATTAGACTGGCTTTGGTTTGCAGGTGTTCAGTTGAGAATTTGTACATCCATGTTCATCAGGTATATTGGCCTGTAGTTTTCTTTGGTATCAAGGAGGTGCCAGTCTTAAAGAATAAATCAGGAAGTGTTCCCTGTGTCTCCGAAGAGTTTGAGGATTGGTGTGAATCCTTTAAACATTTGTCAGAATTCACCAAGAAGCTGCCAGGTCCCGGGCTTTTCTTTTGGATCAGGAATTCAGTATCCTTACTCGTTACAGAACTGTTTAGCTTTCTACTTCTTCTTGAGTCAGTCTGGTAATTGGTGTGTTTCTAGGAATTTGCCCATTTCACATGAGTTATCTAATTTATTGCCATGATTGTTCATTATGTTCTCTTGTAGTCTTTGATTTCTGTATGATCAGTAACATGTTCCTTCCCACTTTGCTTTCTGGTTTTAGCTGTCTTTTTGTCAGTGCAGCTAAACATATCAATGTTGCCAGTTTTTTCAAAGAGCCGTTTGTTTCATTGATTTTTCTGTTTATTCCTGCTGTGATCTTTAGCTCCTGCTAACTTTGGTCTTGTTTTGTTCTCTTTCTAGTTCATTAGGTGTCAGTGAGGTAACTGGGTTTGAGATGTTTTGTTGCTGTGACCGACATACAGCGTTCACTTCAGGCGGCAAGAGCCCCACTTGCATGCGCAGGGTGTGCTCGAGTCTGTCGGGAATCTTAGAGCCAGTGTAGTTCTATCTTGTTTTAGTCTGTTCTGCCCATCTCTGCTTGATTGGAGTTAAATTCATTTGCTTTCTTGTTGTTAATCCTCACCTGAGGATATTTTTCCATTGATTTTTTTAGAGAGAGTGGGAAGGAGAGAAAAACTCAGTGTGAGAGACATTGATTGGTTGCCTCTTGTAGGACCCTGACTAGGGCCAGGAGTCGAACTGCAACCTTGGGTGCTGCCCCCTCTGCTGGTTGTGTCTCAGTGGCATGTGGAAACTACAGCTCCTGAGGGCCAGGGGGCTGACCCCAGTGCCTTCACTATTGTACCCTTTTTACAGATGAAGAAACTGGGGCTGGAGGCCTTGAGGGCTTGCCTGGTTCAGAGTGGTGGCTGAGCTGGGTGGCAGGTGGGTAGGGGCTGAGGAACAGGCTGGAGCAGGAGGCCCTGGCCCTGATGCAGCGTGGGGCTCGTGGGTCAGTCTTTGAGTAGACGGTGCTGCAGGAGGGAAGTGCAGGGCCTAACCTCTGCCCCCAGCACCCTGAGCAGCTGCATGTTTCAGGTGCCGACTTCACAAACACCTTCTACCTGCTGAGCTCCTTCCCAGTGGGGCCAGAGTCTCGGGGCCTGGACGATTTCCTGAGCTCACTGACTGAACAGTGCGCCTCCCTGGAGGAGCTGAGGCTCGCCTTCCGACCCCAGATGGATCCCCGGTGGGTACTCGGGTCTTGCTCCCTTGGAATTTGTTTCCAGAAAGGGAGAAACATTTAGAATAGAGCATGTTGGGGGGTGTGCACATCGGGGGATGCTGGACACCTGGGGACCCAGGCAGCTGCTCTACTCCCAGGAATTGGTATGGGGAGGCCTGGGGGCCCAGGCTGGGGGAGGGTGGGTTCTGCTCTGGGGAGGCTTCACAGACCAGCGCTCTCTGCCCAGGAAGAGCCTGTGGGCCCTTGGTTCCGCTAGGCCATGTCTTTGCACTGGCTCCCACTGGGAAGAGCGTGCAGTCCACACTCAGGACAAGACACGGGGTGTGTGGCTGTGGGTTTTTTTTTGGTTGTTGTTGTTTTTATTGACTTTTAGAGAGAAAAGAAGGGAGAGGGAGACAGAGAGAAACATCAGTGTGAGAAACATCCATCAGTTTCCTCCCACATGCACCCTGACCAGAAATCAAATCTGTCACCTTTTGGTGCACAGGACAAGGCTTCAACCAACCAAGCCCCACTGGCCAGGGTGGGTGCAGGTTTTTTGAGAGAGAGAGGAAGGGAAAGGGGGAGAGAGAAATACGGATGAGAAGCATCAACATTGATGGGCTGCTTCCTGCACGCCCTACTGGGGATCAAGCCTGCAACTCAGGCGTGTGCCCTGACCAGAAATCAAACCAACAAATTCTTGGTGCACAGGTTGATACTCCAGCAACTGAGCCTCACAAGCTGGACACAGTTGAGGGTTTTGATAAATAAGCCAACAGACTGTGGTCAGAGAGGAGTTTAACACAGCAGCGTAGGGAGCAGGCTGAGGCTCTTAGGACACAGGGAGGACCAGCTAGCAGGACCTGTCCCTGACAGCAGTGACCTTCTCCCAGAGGAATTCAGTGCTGGGTTGGGACAGAGATGGGTGCCAGGCAGCAGAGAGATGGTGACCAATCACTGGTCTTTCTGGGACCCAGGTACGCTTATGCCCTCCTAAACCACCCCAGCGGTCCACCTAAGTCTGTCTGTGGCATCTGGCCTTGGGTACAGCTGCACCCTGCCCTGTGGAGGGACTTCTCTGCTCAGCAGGGTGGAGAGCTGGTCGGTGGCCTGTATCTGCCTCATCCACTGGGGTGCAGCAGGCAGCTGAGGCCGTTTCCTCCTCCTCCAGAACAGCCATCATCACAGTGTCCAATAGTCCCAGGCTAGGGTCCACAGCCAGTGGGGAGACGCTGCAGCCTCCGGGACACTCACACCGCTCCCCTCCCTAGGCAGCTCTCCATGATGCTGATGCTGGCGCAGTCGAACCCGCAGCTCTTCGCACTCATTGGCACCCGCGCCAATGTCACGAAGGAGCTGGAGCGTGTGGAGCAGCAGTCGCGGCTGGAGCAGCTGAGCCCCGCTGAGCTGTTGAGCAGGAACAGGGGCCACTGGGCTGACTGGCTCCAGGAGTACAGGTGAGGCCAGCCAGCTGCCACGGCACCGTCTTCCCGGGAGCCGAGTGGAGGCGGGAGTGGGAACTGCAGCTGCTGCAAAGTCGGGCTCGCTGTGATTCCAGAACCAGGCTGGAGAAGGACAGGGAAGGTGACAGTGACGCTGCTGCCTGGCAGGCTGAGCGGGTGCGCACCATGCGTGCCAGCAACCCGAGATACGTCCTGCGGAACTACATCGCACAGAACGCCATCGCGGCTGCCGAGAACGGAGACTTTTCAGAGGTAAGGATGTGCTAGTCCCTCCTCTGTCCCTGGGTCCTGCAGCAGGGATAGGCCAGGGAGGGAGGGACATCCTCATCAACCCCCCTTGCTCCTCTCCAGGTGCAGCGGGTGCTGAAGCTCCTGGAGGCCCCGTTCCACAGGGAGGGGGAGGCCACCGAGGTGCTCGAGGCCCCTGAGCCTGAGGGGGCCAGCAGGGCAGCAGACAGGCGGGGCTCCTACAGCAGCAAGCCCCCGCTCTGGGCAGTGGAGCTCTGTGTGACGTGATCCTCGTAACAGCCTTGGAGGCCTCCACACCGGGAGGCCCCCAGGGCCCCAAGTCATGCTGAGTCCATGAGGCCACGTCCAGCCAGCGGAGCCACCCCACACACCCACCTCTCCATGACGACAGAGATGTCCAGTCAGCACCTGACCTGTCTCTGTCTGACACGGACTCAGCAGCCCAGCACAGTCCCGCAACCAACATACTCCCCAGAAAACGCCGCTTCACGCAAGGACAGCTCAGCAGAGGAACTGGGCCCAGGACACAGCAGCCACAACCCACCGTGGCAGCCTGGGAGGGGCCAGTGCTGCATGGCTCCTGCTTGTCATGGAGCCAGCCCCTAAATAAACCAGCAACTTTCAAGGTCCATCTATCTCGGTGTGGTCCTTCTGCCCCAGCCCAGGTGGGTGCGCGCTCACCGCAGAGCGGGCCTCAGGCGTCCTGGTAGTAGTTGTTGAAGTTGATGCGCAGCAGGAAGTCCTCCAAGTGGGGCTGGTAGCCTCGGTTCACCAGCTTGGTCACCACTGTGGGAGGGGTGGAGCGTAGCTGGGTGAGGCCCCCCTGGGCCCTCCCCTTCTGCCCCAAGCCTGCCCTCCAGTGGAAGACAGCTCACCTTTGAAAAGGAAGTGGGAGTAGTACTTGAAGGTGTTGTAGGACTGCTGCATGAGGGCAAAGTTAGGGTGCTCGGCGCCACGGGGGCCACCGGCAGGGCCCCAGGGCTGGGAGATGAGCTGGCTGCGGAACTTGAGGACCAAGCTGAAGACGCTGTGGATGATGTTCATGACAGGTGCCGCCTTCTCTGTCAGCAGGCCCCTGGGGAGCAAGGGCCGATGCTTCTGGTGGGTGGCCTGGCCTCGGGCATCCCTGACGCCCACACCTCCCCTGTGCCCCCGCCTCACCTGAAGACGGCCTTGTGCAGGTACTCGGCATGGGCACGCTGGATCTCCTCAAGGTCGCCCACTGTGGCCAGCCGGGCCCGAAACTCACACCAGGTGACGTGCAGGATCTGGCTGGCGATGTAGCCCTGGATGACCTTCACGAAGTGCTGCATCTCGTGCTTGAACAGCTGCAGCTGGCGGAACTGCACGGAGCCAGCTGCAGGGCTCACCAGGGCTGCACAGAAGGCAGAGGAGTAGCTGCCACCTAGCAGCCACAGTGACCACCACTGGAAGCTGAAGGGTGTGGGCTCAGGCGGGCCTCACCTGTGCGCTTCAGGTGGAAGCAAACGTCCTTGAGCGTCCACATCATGAGCTTCAGCTGCAGCAGGAACGAGAAGATGCCGCTGTACCGGCTCAGGCAGCTCTCGGTGATGATGATGTTGAGGGGCCAGTCAACCTGCGGGGGGCAGCTCAGTGCACCTGGCGGGACAGCCCAGACCCGCCAGCTCACCCCGTCCACACCTGACTCCACTGACCTTGTACCTGAGCTCCAGGCAGCTCAGCACGTCTGGAGCGTTGGGAACAAAGGCCTCGGGCAGGAACTTGAGCGCGAAGGAGAGGTTGGCCGCCAGCGGAGAGTCACCGTGCAGGCTGTGCTGCAGAGCTTTGCGCAGCGCTGCGTTGAGCGCCAGCGGGGTAAGCAGCTCCCCCGGCGTCTGCCCCGCGCCCAGCTGCAGGAAAGGACGCAGGTCCCAAGGCAGTCCCGTCCTGCCGCCGCCCCACAGCCCGCCCCCGTCCCCACCCTGCTCACCTTCTCAAAGAGCAGGTCACTCAAGGACTGTGCAAACTCCCCGTCCTCCATCAGCAGGAAGTGCCGCAGGGCCTCGAAGTGCGCCTCCAGCTGGAGCTCCACGAAGAAGTAGTCCACAGCAGCCTTGTTCACCAGGGAGACGCTGGCGGAGGAACCTGGGGTCAGCACTGCCAGGGGGCGGGGCCAAGCAGGGGCTGGGGGGGCAAGCAGGGGCTGGGGGGGGCAAGCAGGGGCGGGCGGGCACTCACTGCGCTGCCAGCGGCGCGGTGACAGAGTGCTTCATGAGCACCGGCAGCGGCAGCAGCTCGCTCAGCTGCACCGCGGTCTCATGCGTGGTCTCATCCGTGTCCAGGGGGCCCCGGGTGTCCTCAGGGAGGGCGAAGGCCCGAGGAAGCCCGTGGTGTAGGAGGCGAGCGACAGGAGGCTCTGCTGCAGGGTGAACACAGCCTAAAAAAAGTCTACCCCGGGGCCAGCCTCCGGGACCGCCCTTCCGCCCACCACAGCCTGCATACTCACACATGGCCTCGTAGCTATCCGGGTACTGGTCCAGTCGGTACTGTCCCACCAGGCTGGCCAGGTAGGCCTGTTCCCTGCCCTGGCGCCCGGCCACTGCACCTTCTTCCACCTTCTCGTGGAGGCCTGGGCTGCTCTGGGAGGCTGCGCCTTCCTAAGACAACCCAGCCTCAAGACACCTGTCCCTTCCCCTTATCCAAAAGAGGAAAGGCAGGTGGCTCACTGCCCATGCAAGGCCAGGTGGGGAGGGTGGCCAGCAGTGCATGCTCCCCACCCGACCCCTCAACCTCATCTGCCCTGACCTGTGAGCCTGAAGGCTGACTTGGAGAGCAGTCCTCGGGATCTCCAGTCCCCCCCGGGCCTGAGTGGCACAAACGGGTCCGGAGTGAGTGCCTGCTCTGGGGCAGCACCTCCCAAGTCCCCAGGTCGGCAGACTTCTCGCCCTCCCTTCCTCCCCGTCCTGGACCCAAAGATACCATCAGTGACAGGTCAACTCTGAGGTCCCACTGACCTGACTCCTCAGGGATGCCATCTTCCAGAGCACTGGTCCTGGCCACAGCAGACGGCTCAGGCTGGGGGCCACTCTCCTCCCTGGAGCCAGAGCCAGCCCCCTGAGCGTCGGAACTGTCTGAGGCCAGTTCTGACAGCTGTGACTCAGATTCCCCGGCAGGACTCTGTGCTCCCAGGCTGAGGCCTGACTGAGACACATGGTCAGGGGGGCTCTGAAGGGGCCTGGGTGTATCAGGCTGGGCTTCCTCTGGGACTCCTAGTATTACTTGGGACTGAGACACATGTCCATGGACATTCCACTGTGGCTGGGAGGGGGCCACATCCCACACGTTCTCCCCCACCTTGATGCTGGCATCAGACACGTGCCCGTGGACATTCCACCGTGGCCGGGAGGGGGCCACATCCCACACGTTCTCCCCCACCTTGATGCTGGCATCAGACACGTGCCCGTGGACGTTCCACCGTGGCCGGGAGGGGGCCACATCCCACACGTTCTCCCCCACCCTGATGCTGGCATCAGACACGTGTCCGTGGACGTTCCACCGTGGCCGGGAGGGGGCCACATCCCACACATTCTCCCCCACCCTGATGCTGGCATCAGACACGTGTCCGTGGACGTTCCACCGTGGCCGGGAGGGGGCCACATCCCACATGTTCTCCCCCACCCTGATGCTGGCATCAGACACGTGTCCATGAACATTCCACAGTGGCCGGGAGGGGGCTGTTCTGGAAGCGAAACTCCCAGTGAGACCACCACCCTCAGACACATGCCCACAGGACTGCTCCATGGCCTGGCTACCCCCTTCCTGCAGGGGGTTGTTCCTGGGTGGGTGTAGGTAAGGCAGAGCTACCTGCCCGTCTGGGACACAAGTATCCAGTGGCACGTGAGTGTCCCCCCACAGCTGCAGCCCCTCGCAGTCCAAGCTGCTCCTGTCACCTACAGCCTGGAGAGGCCCTGGGGTCGAGGTGACCACAGATGGCCTCAGGACAGTTCTGAAATCGTACTCCTGTGGCCCAGAGCACCCTGTGCCTGCTGCTTCTGACGAAGCCGAGGGGGGCAGATCTGAGCCGATGGTCTGCAGTGCCTCCTCCAGGACGGGGGCCATACCAGTATCCACAGGTTGCTCAGCACCCTGGCTCGTGGGCAGGAAATCTTGGATGCTGAGGCCTGCAGAGAATGGCCCTGGCCCCTCCACCTGCCCTGGCTGCGGGCCTGCTCCCAGCTCTGGAGGCTCGAGGGGCTGTGGCATCAGCTCACTGGGCCTGCATGGGCCATCCCAGGCGGCCCCGTGCCCAGAATCATAGCTGCCACCTCCATCAGGGCGCTCGGGGCCTGGAAACAAGGCCTGAAACACAAGAGCATGTTGGTCCTTCTGGTTATCTGGCTGTCCCCAAATTCAGTTCTATAACCAGCATCAAAACCCATCTGTGCTCCCTGGGCAGCACGGGTCTGGGCACCCCACTCAGCCCCACACTCCATGCCCCGGATCCTGCTCCAGCCCCTCACCTGGGAGCCTGCACTCGGCAGGACGGTCGGCGGCTGAGGGGGCTTCCCCTCGGACAGGTCCTTCAGCATGGCCTGAAATCCAGTTGGCAGGAGGTGAGGCAGCGGCTGTGCGGGGTGGAGTGGACCCGACAGCCCCAATCGCCTGGCCCAGTGTGCGCGCCCACCGGCCACAGCAGCAGCAGTGGAGACGGGCACTGCAGCGCCCTGCTCTCGGCCTACAGAAAGCTCTCACAGCCTCTCCCGAGCCACATCTCCGAGCGACTGCGGAAAGCTCTCAACCCTCCCCTAGAAGAGCACACAGGCGTGCAGGAAGCTCTGGGGGTCCCAAGCCCCTCGCAGCCCAGGGACGAGCTGGCCCGACGCACCTGAATGCGCTCCTGATCCTCCAGGAGAAAGCGAGCCCGCGCACTCGCCAGTCGGTGCCTCTGGATTTTCCACAGCGCCTTCTGCTCTCGGCGAGCTGCCTCTGCAGACAGCTTGCTATAATGGTCAACCAGCGCCTGCCTGAACCAACATCCAGAGAGAACTGGTCACCAGCCACCCCACTGTCCAGCTGCTTCCCCACAGGAATGGCTCTCCATGACAGAGGCCCGGCAGGTGGTCTGCTCAGCCTGGCACCTTCCCGAGGCCACCAGCTGGCCCCTCTGCACGCCACAGCTCCTGCAGGGGCCTCACCAGGCTGCTCAGCCTGCCCACCAGAGGCAGGCGCCCAGCCCGGGCTTGGCAGATGTCCCTGGACTGAACACCAGAATGAGTCCTTACACCGCCTGAGCAAAGGGTCCTCTAGGGGGCAGCCTCCTTCCTCAGCTGCACGGAAGGAAGGAGATAACATCTACCCACTCACGCGTACACCCATGGGCATACATCACACACCACACATATACGTGTGCACGTACACAGAGACATGCACATATGCATGCAGACGTGTGGACAGACACAGACACGTGTGCACGCACACTGGCTCCAGATCACAGCTCTACAGACAGCAGCTGAGGCTGGGACAACCAAGGCCACGAGCAGGAAGGGACAGCCGCTCCCACAAAGGCCCCCTCGAGAGGCCAGCTCTGCCCCCGGCGTAAGGGAGATGCAGGGGAGGGTGAGAGAAGCTCGACCCTGTGAGACCAAATGTCAGGTGATGTGCTGGACAGATGCCCACCTGTCTGGCTGAGAACAGGTTAAATGGAACGACCAGGAGCTGTTTAACTTAAGAGACGAAGAGCAGGCATGAGCAGTGCGTGGACCTGCCTAGGCTCCAATCCCCACAAACCCGCCACGAGCAGACATTCTGAGGGCAGCTGAGGACACCTGGACACGCCAACGGATATGTCCAGAGGTACTGAGGCCAAATGGATGCTTGGAGTAGAAACAACTACTTAAAAATTTTCCAAATAAGTAAAATGACCATCACTAAGATCAAACCAGTTACCAGGCCCCCACCGTCCCTCACCTGAGGGTCAGCCCAGCGTGACCACTCTGCCCTGGGCCACCCTACCTCGCTTTCCTCTCCAGCTGCTCCTCCAGGGCCTTCAGCCTCTTCTCCCGGTCTCGCAGTTCACGCGCATAGCTGAAGTCGTCGTCTAGCTCCTCCTGCCTGGCCGCCCGGCGTCGCTGTACAACACACCCACATGCAGCCTCACTGTTAAACCTGCCCCACGGGCCTGCCCCACATGCCTGCCCCGCCAGGGCCCGCAGCCCACCCACCTCCTGGTCCTTCACAAACTGCTCTTTCAGCCTCTGAAACTGCTCTCGCTTCCTGGCGTCCAAGGCCATCCGTTCAGACATCTGCCGATCTGCATGGAGACAGACAGTGCCATGATGAGGAGGCCCCAACAGGCGCCCTCAGAATCAGAGGGAGGACCCGAGCCACACGCACCGCTCAGCGCACTCAGGACCCTGGATGCTGCTTCTCGGGCGTGGACGATTAACTCTTGTTTAGCAATTTCCATTCGTAATTCCTGGAAAAAGACCACCAGTAAACACATCCCAACTCCGTCCCCTCTCCTGGGCTGGATGGCTACTATGCAGCTGCTCAGACCCCAGGTGGACCCCTCCAGGGACAGCGCCAAGCTGTGAGGGGGAGGTGACTTGTCCTAAACAGTAACAAGCCTGGCTCCTAGGTGGCTGGCAGGGTCTTGCCCAGCGATCTGAGGCTGAGATCCAGGCCTGAGCCAGCTGGCCCCTATGGGGATGGAGGGCCAGCTCTCTCCAGCACCCAGCCAGCTCCCGGAGGAGAGAGGGGGGAGCCCCTGCCCAGGGCATGCCCCACCCAGACACCCCCCAGAGAACGCCAGGGGCAGCACCGGCTCGCGTGCCCCACACCCAGCACCCCTTGGAGGGGGAGGGTGTGAGGGACCCCAGGGCTGTGGCTCTAACCCTCTCCTCCTTGCTGATGGAGCTGTGGCGCGCCACCCTCTCCATGCGCCCCAGGTAGATGGCACAGTCCTTCTCAATCTCCTTCAGCTCCTCCAGGGAGAAAGTCACCGAGATCCGGGGCACAGGGACGTCGGACCAGCAGAGATAATGCTGCCAAGGGAGACCCCACTGTGAGCCTGGTGACACGTGGCCTCTGCTTCCGTGCTCTGGTCACCCACATGACAGTTCATTCCTCAGCCAACGGGATGACACCCTCCAAGGCTCCGAGAACACCAGACAGGCTGCGTGGGGTCTCTGCACAGCCACAGGCCCAGGCTCCCTGCAGCAGAGGCAGGTCTGACCTCACAGATGACCTTCAGAAAAAGCTTCGAGGACCTGGAGGTCCTGGGCTCCCTCACCACAGGGCCAGGCACTGAGGGGAGCCCACACAGGACAGATTGACCCTGCTCCATGCCAGCCCCACCCTCCACAGCCCATCTCCGGGCAGCCCCTGGGATCAACTGCACAGCCCCTGCACCAGCTCTGGCCGCTCTAGTCGGTTCTCAGCCCAGCACTGGAGGGACCCCATCAGCCTCAGGCTGGGCCTGACCACTCCTCTGCCCTGACCCTGCACAGCCCCCACTGGCCCTTTGGTCTAGCCTCTGCCCACTGTCCCTGTGCCTGGAAGCCCCAAGTCCACCTGGCCAGCCACCTGCCTCTCTGCTCAGACGTCAGACAGCACCTCCTTGCAAAGGCAGCTTGTCCACCCACACCTACCGCTGCCCCCTGGGCCTGCTTGGCCACATGGATGTTGGCACAGGCTTCTGCCCAGGCCTCTGCTCCAGACACAACTCCCTGAACCAGCCTGGTCCCTCTTCTTACAGTCACACCCCACCCACCACAGGCCATGCCCCAGGACGGGGCCCACTGCCCCCTGGCCTTTGCTTTCACTCCCATCTTTGAACACGTGCCGAGACAATAGCTGCTCGTGAGACTTTCAGGGGACACTGAGGGACAAGTCACCAAGGTCCCAGCGCCAACATGCTGACCCAGACAGAAGACCAGATCTCAGGGGGACCAGGGATAGCAGATCCGGACCTTGGCTCCGAGGGAGGAGGGCAGGGCCAGGGGCAAGCACACTGCGGGAAACAGGGGGGTCCGTCCTCACCTGGGGGCAGCAGAGCTTTAGCAGGTTGATGGTCTTCCCGCAGACATAGACATCGTGAGCAATGTGCTTCAAGAACGCGGGCACACAGTCCTCCACCTCCTTGGAAATGAGCGCGTAGCCGTGGGTCCAATAAGCCCTGTCTGAGCGTGGGAAGGACACAAGGCCGGCCTGCACCCAGGCTGTGTGGACCTGCCGGCCGTGTGGGGGCCCCGCCTAGCAGCCACTTACCTCTGAAGCCCAGGTACTCATGGTTCACCTGGATCATGAACTCCCCACAGACATCTCTGAAGACCCCACTGTACACCCAGTCGTAGATGAACCTGGCAGGGAGGACCGGCCAGCATTGAGGTGGGATGGCAGCACCGGGTTGGGCGTGGCAGCCAGGTGGTGGAGGGGTTTGCCTAGGGAGCCCAGTCCAAACCCCCACTATGCCCTCCCTCTCCCCACTGAACATTCCTGACTCAGCAGGTCTGACAAGGGAATGCATCTCAACTCTGCTAAGACTGTGCAGCCCACCCCACCCACGCACAGCGCTCCGCGCCCTAACCCACCCACCCCCACCCACGCACAGCGCTCCAGGCACAGCGCTCCACGCTCCGCGCCCTAACCCACCCACCCCCACCCACCGTGTGTAGGGCTCGCAGCTGGTCTGCAGCAGGGACAGCAGCACTGGGTAGTTCTCATTACTGCAGTTATCCAAGGCCTCCTGGTAGAGGTAGGAGAGCAGCTTCACACCCTGGAGACAGCAAGGGGAGGGGCTCAATGCGTGCGCAGGGCACAGGAGACCCTGCAGCCCACCGAGGTCACGTTCAGCCACGCCCCCCTTTCTGGAGCCCGAAGAACTCACAGTGGGGAAAGCAGCCCTGGATTCCCCGCAGGCGCCTACACCACAGAGCTCAGCCAGGTATCTAGACAGAGAGGCCAGGTGAGAGATGGTAAGTAGGTGCTCAGAGCCCCCAGGCCCGGTGAGAGCAGGTGAGCAGAACCTGTCCCAGGCCCGGTGAGAGCAGGTGAGCAGAACCTGTCCCAGGCCCTTCCCTACCCATCTTCCTGCTCCAGCTTTAAAACCAGCTGCACCTCCTGGATCTCAGATCCCAGCTTCCTGCCGGATCCCCACACGGGCACCCCATGCACCTCCACCTCCTTGCAGGCTCGGCCAGGGCTCCCATCACTGAGCACTGACCCTTCCCCTGCACCTGAGTCCCTCCTGTAGCCCCACTTTACCAAGGTCGCCGCTGCCTCTGGCCTAGGTTACTGCTAAGCCCCTCAGACCCCTCACCCTCCACGCACTGTAGTCCACACAGCAGCACAGCAACCCCAACCCCACCTCCCTCACTGTGCCCTCTCTCCAGCCCTCGGGGCCTCCACACTCTTCCCCGCTGCCTGGAAGGCCTCCTCTCCCCCTGAGCCCACCTCCCCAGGGCCCCAAGCCCCTCCCTCTTCTCCAGGCAGCATCTGCTGACAGACACTTGCCTGGGTTACCTAACTGCTTCCTGAGTGCCCGGAGCCAGGTCTGTGGGCCCTTATGTGCCCTCAGGGGGAGCCCCACCACGGCAGGACAGCACCAGCACCTGATGAACTCAGCTGGTGCAAGAGCTGTCCGGACACCTGTCAGGAGGGCTGTTCTCTAGGCCCCCCCCCACCAGCCCTCCCCACTCAGCCACTGTGCTGTGGCTCACCTGAGCTGCCGGCCCAACTTCTTGAAGAGAAAGCCAATGGTGAGGAGGCTCAGAGTGGGTGGGGTGGAGAGGACACAAGCCCGGTAATACTGCAGGTACCTCCTCAGGCCGCTGGTGAAGGCCTAGTGGGCAAGGTGACTGAGAGGAGGGTGGCTGGGCAGACTCAGCCACAGAGCTCGGGGCTTGGCAGGGGGCACTGGTGCCAGGGAAAGGGCTCAGCTGCTGTCCCCTAACCCTGGGCTCCATCTCTCAAGGAACAGGCACCTGTGGGTCACACCCAGACACCCCAGCCTAGCTGGAAGCAAGGACCCAGGCCCTCTGCAGATCCTGTCCCTGCAGCCGGACCAGCACACCAGGAAACTAGAACACAGTGTGGCTCGGAGGGACTCTGGGAAGGGGGGCTGGCACTGCACATGGAGGCTAACTCTCAGCGATACATGCATGCCGGGCGGGGCCGCAGCAGCATGGTCCCAGCGCAGCTCACATCTTCACAGCATGTCTGTAAGAAATGCTCCGGCACCAGTGAGGAGACAGCTGTCCTGCCCTCATGTCCCAAACAGCAGGGTGTCTGCCTGTGTCAGTTTCCTTCTGCCCCCGTGCTCAGCCCTGTTCTCCATGGGCCAAGTCTGTACCTGGACCTCACTGTGTCACCCCGACCACCTGCCTATAACGCCAATACGTAAAGGCACTGCGCAGCCCAGTGCCACCTTCCTCCCTGAAGGCCCCTGTCCGTGCTCCCAGAATGCCCTGCTCAGCTGGATGCCTGTCCCTCCCATGAAGCCACACTCGCTGTCCTGGGGGACTGTACCCAGTGCAGGAACAACGGGAAGGCCTTCAGGGAGACCGGGTTCAGTCCCAGCTCCTGGAACTCAGCTCACCAAATAAGGGGATCCACTGTGTGAATTGCATGCAGTTTTCTGGGGACCCGGTGGGGATAGCAGAACATGCCCACCTTCACCACCTGGCCATTGCCCCAGACCCCTCAAATGTGGTCCACATCTGCCTCCACTATGGCATAGCCCAAACGTGTTTGCCCGTGAAGTGACGATGGTGGAACACTGTTCCTGGAGGGTAACCAACGAACTTCGGACGCTACGAGGAAAAGGGTCTCAGTGGTGCTGGGCGAGAGCTGAGGCCCTTTCCAGACATGTGCACAGTTCTCAGGAAGGGCTGTGACGCCCCCCAGGAGGCCGAGGCCCTACCTGGAACACGAGGCCTTTGCTGCATGAGGCGTCCAGCACAGGCTGCAGAGAGAAGTGGCTCAGGCGTGCATAGTGGGTCCCGCACTCGGCCACCTCCGAGAGAAGGCTGCTGATACTCTCGGGGGACGTTCCCGACACATGGATGCCCCGCTTCACGATGAAGGCCTGAGTCGACTGGAGAGGACAGAGGAGAGGGCACTGAGGCCAGACATCCAAGACCCTTTCTTCCCATGCACCCAACCACGGCTCTGCCCAGACAGCCCAAGGCTGAGAACCAACCCAAGACACGTGAACAGGAAGTTCCAAAGGCAAAAAGCAGGTGGCCCATAAAGCAGACCCAGCTGTCCCACCCCTAGTGGTGAAAACATACAGAAACAAGGTGTCATTTTTCACTGACCCCACTGAAGAATATGTTTAAATGTCAGGCCATCGGTGGGGAGGGTGCAGGAAGATAGGGCGCCCTCCACACCACACGAAATAACATCCAGAAGAGCTTTCTTGGGGGTGGGAGCTTTAGAAGATACCGACTCCCAGGGTCGTATGGGAGAAGTATGGACAATGCACACGGTATCTGCACAGCTCGTTCCCACCACACGGCCTGCAGCCAGAGCAAAGATAGCCCGAGGGGCGGCGACACAGCACAATGAGGCGGTGACAGCGTGTCACAGGGAGAGGCACAGCCCAAATGACCGCGTCAAAGAGAGGTGACCGCACCGCACACCTGAAGGAACTACAAAAAGCAGCGAGCTGAACCCAAAGCAGCAGGAAGGAAACAAAGATGAGCAGAGGTGAGTGCAACAGACTGGAAACAGCAGACAGAATCATGAAGCCAAAAGCTGGTTCCCTGAAGAGATCAACATCAACAAACCTTCAGCAGGGCTAAGAGAAAAAGACGACTTAAAGGAGGGACGACACAAGAGCTGGAATCGGAAAGGAAAGCGGGCAATGCGAGATGCGGCAGCCCCACCAGCGAAGTCCCCTTTGAGAAATGCTGGGGGCCCAGACAACTGACCCCATGAGTGACCGCAATCGTCCCTTCCTGCACCCTAAGCTCACCCTTATGTTTCAAACCCACCACTCAGTGGGGAGAACAGTCTTTCCAGTGAACAGGACTGGGGCATTGGGCCCCACATGTACTCGAGGGAGTGAAAACAGGACCCGAACAGGGAGTCACCGTGCCCACAGCAGCCACGGGGCAAAGGCAGCCCAAGTGTCCATCAATGGGCGAAGGATAAGCAAAACATGGTCCGTACATATATGGAGTATCGTTCACTCCTAAAGGGAAGAAAATTCTGACCTGCGCAAGAACACAGGTGAAGCTCAAGGACTGTGCTCGGTGAAATGAGCCAGACACAGAAGTCCAGCGACATGAGGCACCCAGAGGAGTCACACTCATAGGGACAGAAAGTAGATGGTGGGGCTGGGGCTGGGGCAGGGGGTCAGTGTCCACTGGGGACAGAATTTCTGGTGGGAAGACGGAAAGTTCTGGACGTGATGGTGGTAACGGCTGTGTAAGTATGAATGTGCTTAATGCCGCTGGTCTGTAACTCAACTGGCTAAGACGTTACGCTTTAAATTTTTTTTTAATTTTTATTGACTTATTTTTATTTATTTTTTAGATAGGTTTTTACTGCTTTTTCAGAGAGAGAAGGAGAAAGACCGACACGATGTTCCCTGACGAGGAACAGAGCCAGTGTCTCTCGGTGCACAGGCCCAGCCAACCAGCCAACCAGCCAGAGCGAGGTGGTGCCTGCCTTTCAAGTTATGTAACAAAGCACTGAGGCCATGAACATGGGGTTCGAGAACCGCCTGCAGAGGAGGGCCCTCCGCAGCAGCAGCCCCCGAGTGTGCCCGAGCGGCTGTGGAATGAGAACGGGAGACAGAGGCTGGGCCCTCAGCGGAAGGAGGCGGCTCCAGCAGAACCTGTGCGAAAGGCTTCATTTCCATCAACTCTCATAGATGAGGCCCAGCGAGTGCCAAGTGCTGGTGAACTCCAGCTCCTGGCCAGGGAATGTCCACAATCTGAGAAAGGCCAGCGACAGTCACCTTTCCGTGTGGCCCTTCCTGAAGGCCAGTCTGTGCTGGCCTCATGCAGGACGCTTGGGGGGAAGGGCAAGGCAATGGTGGGTCCAACCCTATGTCTCTCGTTCAGTTTGTGAAAGGACATCAGTGAGTGAGCGCTTTTAGAACTGAAACGAGAAGCACGTGGCCGCAGTGGCCTGGGGCTGATCTGCAGGCCCGCCTGGCCTGGCGCTGGGCTGGGTCTGAGGCCATCCACTCACTGCACTGGCCTCCTCCCGCCCTGTGGAGTGCCCGGGCAGGGCCAGGCACCAACCCTGCGCTGGTGCAGTGACTGAGTGCCAGCGCTGCCTTACCTGGCAGAGGGGGAAGGTGGCAGACACGACCCCAATCAAGACGTTCAGCACATCCTTCACCAGCTCGCACTCCTGTACCAAGACAGGCTTCTCGGCCTGGGGCAGGCCCCCGCCCAGCATCTGCAGCTCCCCTTGGCACAGCCGGCAGAAACTGTCGAAGGCGTCCCTTCCTGCCTCCGTGAGGTAGGGCTCCTCTCTGTGGCCAGGGGGGCTGTGGAGACAGAGCCACAGGGACCTCAACCACATGAACAAAGGGCAGGAAATGTGACTCGCTACGACAAAACCTCCAAGAAATACAGAGCAGCTGTGTATCCGACCAGCCACCAGCCTCTCAGTCAGCTCTGCGGGCTCAGCGCAGGCTTCGCTGGGTCCCGTCTGGACAGACGGGACAATTCACTGAGTCCTCACTCACCAGCACCCACTGAGTGCACACTGTGGTCCTCAGGACGACCCCTCACCCACAATGTATCTTTATGTTAAAAACAAGCACAGCCCGGCTGGTGTGGCTCAGTGGATTGAGCGTTGTCCCTTAGACTGAGAGGTCCCGGGTCAGGGCACATGCCAGGGTTGCGGGCTTGATGCCCAGTACAGGGTGTGCAGGAGGCAACCGATCGATGTTTCTTACACTGACATTTCCTTTTTTTTTTTTTAATTGATTTTTAGAGAAAGAGGAAGGGATGGGGAGAGAGACATAAGAACATCAATGAGAGAGAACACTGACTGGTTGCCTCCTGCACGCCCCCCACTGGGGATTGGGCCCACAACCTGGGCATGTGCCCGGACCAGGAATCAAACTGGTGACCTCTTGGTGTACGGACTGACACTCAACCACTGAGCCACACCAGCCGGGTTCACACTGACGTTTCTATCTCTCTCTCCCTTCCTCTCTCAAAACAAAACAAACAAACAAAAAATCAATAAAAACATTAAAAAAATAATAAAAAAAGACTGGCCCTGGACGGTTTGGCTCAGTGATTAGAGCATCAGCCTGTGGACCAATGAGTCTCGGGCTTAATTCTGGCCAAGGGCATGTACCTCAGTTGCAGTTTGTCCCTGGCCCTAGTCAGAGTTATGCGGGAGGCAAGCAGTCAATGTGTCCCTCTCATGTCAATATTTCTCTTTCTCTCTCCCTCTCTCTCCTTCCCACTCTATATGAAGATAAATAGAAAAATATCCTCGAGTGCTTGCTTCGGCAGTACATAGAGTAAAAAAATTGGAACAATACAGAAAAGATTAGCATGGCCCCTGTGTGAGGATGACATACACATTTGTGAAGCATTCCATATAAAAAGAGAAAAGAAAAATATCCTCGGGTGAGAATTGAAAGAAAAAAAAAATTTAAAAAAAAAGGCCGGCATCCTAAATAAATACTTAAAGAAAAGAAAAGAAAAGCAGCACAAGGTCTGCACGCCCAGGTGCACGCAGCATATTCACAACAGCCCAGTGGAAGCAGCCCGAGTGTCCATTCCAGATGAATGAATGTGAAAACATGGCATCCATCCAACAACAGAATATTACTCAGCCTTCAAAAGGAAGATGACGCTTGAGGACATTGTGCTCAGTGAGATAAGCCAGACACAGAAAGACAAATACTGTAGATCCCACTTCGAGGAGGTCCAACAATAGGCAGAGTCAGAAAGCAGGCGGTGGTGTGGGGTGAGGCGGGGGGGGGGGGGGGGTCCCAGGCTACACAACAGTGCAAATGTGCTCCATGCCAGCTGTGCCCTTAAAAAGTGTTAAACTTTCTGTGCTCCATGCCGCTGAGCTGTGCCCTTAAAAAGTGTTAAACTTTCTGTGACCTATTCTTTACACAAAAGGAAGGACGCACAAAGGAGGGACAGAGCAAAGTCTCATGGATTTTCTGCACAAAGCAGGCAACTGGGCCTTGCGGCTCGGGCACAGGGCGGCCGCCAGAGGCTTTGCCTCCCGTGAGTCCTGTGCTGAGAGTTCACCCAGCACAGTCACATCGTTCAAAATCAGCCAAAAACATGGGGTCTTTCAAATATTCCTTTGAAAACCATCAACCTCTACTGAAAAATATGAAAAAAACTGTCTTTTAAAATCCACTGGAAATCCCTGGCTGGTTTGGCTCAGCGCTTAGAGCACAGGCCCGCGGACCAGAGAGTCCCAGGTTCAGTTCCCACTAACGGCATGTACTTCAGTTGCAGTTTGTCCCCTGGTTGGGATCGTGCAGGTGGCAACCAATCAATGTTTCTGTCTCTCTCTCTTCCTCCCTCACTCCCTCCCACCCTACCTGAAGACAGATGCATAAAAATGTCCTCGAGTGAAGATAAAAAAAAATTTTTTTTTTTAATAAAAGCCACTGGAAAAGTAATTTCTCAATAAACAGAGCCTGGGAATATAGGCCTTTCTGAAATGTTTCTTTTCATTTTCAACCCCTGACCAACTCTTTTCTCCTCCCCTCAAAAACTCATTTTTAGGTCTAGCAAATCAAAAAGTGGCATTTATTTTTCAAAGACAAAAGTCGTTTTTCGCCTTGGCTGGTGCGGCTCAGTGGCTGAGCATTGTCCTGTGCACCAGAAGGCTGCCGGTTCATTCCTAGTCAGGGCACATGTGCAGTTTGTGGGATCTGTCCCGTCGGCAACCGATCAATGTTTCTGTCTCATATTGGTGTTTCTCTCTTTCTCCCTCTCCCTTCCGCTCTCTAAAATCAATAAAAACGTATTTTTTTTAAAAGTCACTTTCCACCCTGGCCAGTTTTTCTCAGTGGTTAGAGCGTCAGCCTGTGGTCCGGAGAGACCTGGGTTCAGTTCCCACTAGGGGCACGTACCTCGGTTGCAGTTTGTCCTGGTTGGGTTGTGCGGGTGGCAACCACTCGATGGGTCCCTTTCATGTCAACGGTTCTCTCTCTCCCTCCCTCCCTCCCACTCTATCTGAACAAAATATCAAAAGAGTGTCCTCAGGTGAGGATTTTTAAAAAAAAAGTCATTTTCCACTGGGAGGTTAACAAGCTCCAAGCTGTAGGACATTCTGTGTGGACGGTGTTGGACCCCAGCACATTTCCCTCCACCTCAGGCACGGTGCAGAGGGTTCGAGAACAGTACATCTCAGAACTCGTTCAAGTCACAACGCTCCCTGACAAAGCACCGTACTGCACTCCCTCCCATCGCTCTCAATCACCCAAGTGCAGGGGGAGCACATGGCTTCTGCCCCATTTTTGCAGGATCGCCCCAGCACCACCCTGCCCCGCAGGACTCAGAGCCAAGGGAGAAAAGCCCACCAAATCCCCACTCATCCCCACAGAGAACTCAGCCCCTCACAGAAGGAAGCAGCTTCCCCAGGATGGGTGGCGTCCTGCAGACCAGCCGCCCTCGGCAAGCGCAGGGGGTCCTCCAGAGAACAAGGCAGGGGCAGAGTTTACAGTCCCGGGGCTGTGTGTGGACAGGGAGCTCTGCTTCCGGTAGGAATGCAGCTTCCTCGATTGCCCACAGCAGGAAACGAGGAGACAGCTGGGACTAAACCGGAAACAGGTTCTCAAGATTCAGAGAGCCAACCAGAGTGAAAGGCCTCCATCCCCGTTCCAGGAGGTTTCGAGACACAGGCACGTTGCAGACTCAGAGGCCCCTGGACCGGGAGGAGCAGCGATCAAGGAAACATGCTGTGACCACAACCACCAGCCGGAGGGCACCCCCTCATCCTTCCAGATGTGAACAACAGTGGGCATGAAGTAAGTTCCCCTGTCAGCACCCAGCCCCAGCCCCGACCACACCGCCTGCCAGGCCGCCCTCAGACACCTCGGATGGGAGCCCGCAGGGTAAGGACGTTCACTCGGTGCAAGTGACTGCTCCACCTAGAAAGCGGGATCTGCAGAGCTGCTGGCACAGTGGGAACCTCCATGAAGCCCTGAGTCCTGGCCCCCAAGCATTTCTCTCAATTCCCAGAACAAAGACAAGTCTGTGCACCAGCCTGATGGAAACTTCCAGGTCCCGTCACGGCGGCTTCTGCCAGAGCCACCTGGGCTCTCTGGGTAAAGACACCTCACGAGCCAGAGGAGGGCAGTGCCTGCAGAGGCAAAGGCACACGTACCAGCCAACTTGTTCCCAGCACCTCCTCTTGCTGGCCTCATAGGTGAGCACGGCGTCCCATGGGTCGATCTCTGGGGTTGTGCCCGGCTCAGACTGGGAGTCGGGAGTCAAATTGGATGCTGACTGGAACCCCTCATCTTCAGACGGATCCACACTCTGAGGCACCTGGAGACCAGGGGGAAGGAGGAAACACCACATGTGCCTTTAGGTCTAAGTTTCACCCGTGTGATGGAAATCCCAGGACTTCTCCACACATTTACTCAAATAGGAAAGCCCTGCAGAATGTTTCCTGTTTTTCTTGAACATGTATGTACTACAGAGTATTTTTCCCTCCATTAAATCACTTAAGGAATTAATTTACTAAGATTATCAATTTCCAACTTCATACACCACGTAAGCCTCAATATAACTTACAATGAAATGCATCCAATCTGGAAATTCCATTTTAGGGAACCCAGCATGAAAATCATACTAGAGTCCGAAAAATACATGCACATCAAGATGTTTGTGACAGTCAAGCCAGCACGACTCAGTGGATTGAGCATCATCCCATGGACTGAGAGGTCCTGGTTTGATGCCCGGTAAGGTCACATGCCAGGGGTTTCAGGCTTGATCCCCAGTCGGGGGCGTGCAGGAGGCAGCTGATTGATGTTTCTCTCTCACATTGATGTTTCTAATCTCTCCCTTCCTCTCCCTCTAAAAAAAATCAATAAAAACATATTTTTTTAAAAAAATGTTCACAACAGCACTGTTTATGTTTGCAGATAACCTAAATGTCTCATAGTAAGGGAATGAGGGAGCAATGATAGTGCATGCTTTCAATAACATTCATAAAACCACAAAATATAAAGTCCAATGATGGCTTACTTAACAATGTAGGAAAAATCTCGCCCTGGCCAGTTTGGTTCAGCAGTTAGAGCATCAGCCTGCGGTCCCGAGAGACCCAGGTTCTGTTCCCGCTAAGGGCACGGCCGTCAGTTGCAGTTTATCCCGGGCCCTGGTTGGGTCATGTGAGTGGCAGCCACTCGATGCGTCCCTTTCACGTCGATGTTTCTCTCGCTTCCTCTCTCTCCCTTCCACTCTATCTGAACAAAAAAAAAAAAAATGGAAAAGTGTCCTTGGGTGAGGATTAAAAAAAACAACAAAAAATGTAGGAAAAAATCTCACTTTACAGGTGGAAAAAAGTATATAAAACTGTATGTATAGTACAAACAAATGTTTTTGCTACTGAGCACTTGAAATGTGACCAAGGAACTGGACTTTTTTTTTTTTATCCTCATTCGAGGGCATTTTTCCATTTTTTGTTCAGACAGAGTGGGAGGGAGAGAGAGGAAGAGAGAGAGAGAAACATCGATGTAAAAGGGACACTTCGAGTGGCTGCCACCTACACGATCCAACCAGGACCGGAGACAAACTGCAACTGAGGTACCTGCCCTTAGCGCAAACCAAACCCAGGTCTCTCTGGATCGCAGGTTGACGCTCTAACCGCTGAGCCAAACCGGCCAGTGCGGAACTGCACTTTTTATTTCATATTAATTAACTTAAGTTTAAGTGGCACCTCTAGAGGATGGAATAAGTGACAACAACACGCCCTGTGCGTAAGCATGAAAAGCAGCATGCTGCTTGGGCCTACCAGTGGGCAGTGGCGTCCTGGCCTCACCACAGCTCAACCACGTGTCCTGGACTCCAGAGCTGTCCCACCCCTTCCAGGTCAAAGGAGGCGTTTCCAAAGGCCCCAGGAGCGGAGGCAGGAGAGCTGCCCTCACCTTGATGGCCAGTCCAGCGAGGTCTGCGCTGTCTGGCACCGGGGGCAAGTCCAGCCGGACATCCATGTCGTATGTGCGACTGTGCACAAGGGCTCCGAAGAGCGAGACCCGGGTGTCTCTCTCGAACCTGTCTCCACAAGGGTCACCGTATGAGAAGAGCCGGGCAGTGGGCAGCCCGGTGCCCGGCGCCGCCTCCATCACCTGAAGCGCTTTCTGGATCATGTCCTGACACAAATACTCCTCTCTGGAGATCAGAGACTGAACGTCCATCTCGAACACACTCAGGTCGTAGCAGTCGTAGCCGCTGTAGGGAACGTTTCTCCCGACGTGCTTGTTGTTGAAGAAGTAGTCCCGTTTTCGGGGCAGGACCTGAGGGGGCCCACTGCCCGCCAGCTGAACCAGCAGGTCCAAGGCCGACCCCACCTCCACCAGCGGACAGCACGGGTCTGCCTCGAGCTTCTCCACAAGCTCCTCCAGACGGTCAGCCTCGGGGCCCAGGCCACCCACTCTCAAGTCAAAGGACAGCATGAGGATCTTGTTTTTCACCGGGAGACTCGAGAGGTCGGGCTGCAGCTTCGGCGTCTCCTCTCGGAAGAGATGTGCGAAAAGAGCGTTGTAGGCCACTCTCTTGAGGCTCTGCTTCGCCCTCCTGCGGCTCGGGCTGCGCTGGCCCAGGTGAGCCCTCGCAGCCGGCAGCAGGGCCTCGCACAGGTCGTCGAGCAGCTGGGTGATGCTGGCCATGCCCACCGCTGCCGGCTGCCCGGGGCCTGACGGCCGGGCGGCGGGGCCGGACTGCGGCGGAGGCTGCGACTGGAATCGTGCCGGGTCTGCGGCGGCCTGCTCCCCGCACCGGGCGCCCGCGCACCTGCCAGGCCGCAGCCTGCACCCTGTAGCGGTCACAGCACCGTGACGAGCCGCAGGAGACGCGAGCGGCCCTTACACCGCGGGCGCGCCCACTCCGCACGCTCTCTCGGGGCTGAAAAGGGGCGTCAGCGAGAGGCGCCGCGGAGGGGCGCGGGGGACGGGAGGGTGCGCTGCCTCACCGCGCGGCGGCCCGCTACCCAGGACTGACAGGGGAAAAAGCGCGCCGCTGTACGTCACTACCATGCGACCCGCAGCACCACGGGAGCGGCGCGCCGGAAGCGCGTCACAGGGAAGGCCCGCGGAGGAGGCGGAGCCAGGCGCGCAGGAGCGGGGCCTGGTGGCCGCGTAACATAGGCACTTCCGGCGTGGAGCCACGTTCGTGTGGGCACAGTAACGGAGGCGGAGTCAGACTTTCTCTTAAGCGTTTACTGATTGACGTGAAGGGAGCTTGGGCGGGGCCTTCGTACGAGGCGGGGGCGGAGGGGCTCCAGGCAGCCCCTGTGCGCACCGGGTGCCTGAGCCAGTGCCCAGGCGCCCGGAGGAGGCCGGGACATCAGGCGGCGGTGTGCTGGTTAACGTTCACCCCCCCGGCTCCTGGGGGACTGGTCTGTAGTGTCATTCCCGGGGTATAAATACTCTCCACCTGGCCGATCTCAAGCAGCTGGGTCCTGGCACTCAAGCGGGAGCTGGGAAGAGGCGCACAATCAGCTTGGCACGGCTGTGCACTGGTTCAGGGCGGCACCTCAGTCCCACGACTGAGCCTCTCCCCCCGCGGAGTCCCCACGGGGCTCTACAGCAGGACTGTCCCCCACGGCCCTAAGCATTCAGCCTGAGCCTTGTTCCCAGTCTCACCGGCCACCTGCAGCATCTTCCACTGTGGCTCTAGCTGCCTTCGCAGGTGCATCAGGGCCTGCATCTCCTCCGGGCAGGCCATGCAGAAGGGGCCCAGGCTGGGGGGGGCCTCTCCATGCAGCACCTGGGCCAGGACGCCTACAAGCTGGGGTGTGGATTCCTGGGCCAGGGGCAGAGATGAAAGCAGTGTCACTGGTCTCTCCCTGTCTCCCACCCCATGGCACATCTGCTCTGCTCAACTCACCTCATCCACAAGGGCCAAGACTCGGCACCCTACTGGTGCCCGCAACAGTGCAGCCAGGAGTGCAGCTTGGGGGTCCCGCAGGCCATGGGCCGGCCCCAGTGCCAGCAGCACCAGGTCAGGTTGGAAGCCATAGGCCAGGGGCAGCACCAGGGCCAGGAGGAAGTTCAGGAACCCACCAGTCGTCTGTGGAGGGACAGCAGCATAACCCCATCCTCTTATCCAGGGGTCACCCCTCTGTCAGCTCAGGCCACCCCACCTCCAAATATCAGGTGGGCAGCAGCCACACCAAAAGTCCCATCAGGAAGTCGGGGAGGGTAGGTGAAGGCCGGGGGCCTGGCCCTCCTGATGATGCCAGTGAGCAGCCACTGTCTGGCTCTGTGACACCACCACTCACCCCTGGCCGTGGCATGGAGACGTGGAACATGGACAGGGCAACAGCCTCCTTGCCCCTGATGTTCAGCCACAGAGTCCTCCTTTCAGGGGAGAGTGGGCACAGGGACATGTGTGCGTGTGAGTGAAACACCCCTCACCCTCCAGAGCTGGGACAACAGAAGGTGAGGTGCAGGAAAGTTCGGGGATAGGGTGCCAGAAGTGCTGACCCTCTGTGCTGGAGACCCTCCTGGCCTTGCTCCCAGGGCTGCATCAGCCCACCCAGCCATCTCCCCTGGGGACCCACGGTGATGTACCCACCCACACACAAGACTGGATATACAGGTGACCCAAAGGGCATACCCATCATCAGCAAGGTCCGATGGCCGATCCAGCTGTCCCACAGCCACACAGAGAAGCCTAGAAAAAAAGTTGGTCCAAGGACAGGCTGTACTTACACCACTAAGCATCCATTCCCAGACCCCTCCCCCTGTGGCAGCCAGGGCAGGGGTACCCATGAGCCGTGCCCTGGGAGACTCGGGCCAGCCAGCTGAGGCTCACCTCTGGGCGCCCCGGGAAAGGCTGCACCGAATGGCCACGTCCAGGATGGCAGCCGCAGCAGGGGCTGGGGTGGCTGCGATGCCGCTGCTCAACTGCAGGGCAAATAACAGCAATGAAAGACAACCCCCAAACCAGGCAAACAGACCCATCAGTCCATTCCCTTGGTCCCTGTCTTTGTGGCTGTCATCTACACACTATGAGGTCAAACTGCTCCACTTCTGAAAATAAGATGCTTAAAACCACACTTTAAATCACCACCTTCCCTTCTCTGCCAGAGAGCACTTAGTTGAGGGGACTGAGAGAAGGCTTGTGACGCTGTCCCTAGGGGCTCTTCTCGGAAGGGTCTTGGACACAAGGCAACACTCATGTCCACATCATTCTGCACCCCCACAGCCCTCCCCTGGACAGGTTACCCATCATGGGCAGGTCCTGGGCCCTAACCCCAGCTCCACAGCCACCCCCAGCCCCTCCAGGTGCCCCTACCTGCCCATCCAAAATCCTATCCAAAAGGTACAGGACCTTCCCAAGTGCACTGCCAGCCTCGTCCTTAGCCAGGGCCTCATGTAGCCTATGATGGGAAAACCAGAGGAACACATAGACATGGGGTGACACAGATCACAGGTTGAGTCACACAAGGGTACGTGGAGGACACCGCCCCACCCCTCTGCCCTGGCCCACTCTGCCCACCTGGCCCAGGCCTGCACTTCCTCCTTCGGGGCTGACCCCTCCTGATGGAGGACGTCAGGGGGCAGGACCAAAGCAGTGTCCAGTGCAGTCAGAGCAACAGCCGTGCGGACAGGGGGCGTGGGGCGGAGGTGTAGCTGGGCCAGGAGGGCACTCAGTGCCGCCGTGGCCTGGGCCGCTGCAACCTTGAATTCTGGCCCCCCAGACAACAGAGGCGAGGGCCTCCCCTCTGGCGAGTGGGTGCTGGGACTCAGGATGGGGGCAGAGTCTAGGAGGTGGTTCAAAGTCATGGCCACTTCGTGGAAGCCTGAGGTGCAACCCTACCACCCGGCCCAGGCCACACTGACCTTGCTGCTGGAGGCTTGTCCAGTGAGGGGCCTGGGCTGCCCGGACACTCTGGATGGACTCCAGGGCACTGCAGGAAGAGGCAGGAGTGGTGAGGCCTGGCCTTGCACGCCCAGCCTCCCCAGCTCCCTACCCCAAGCACCTGTGATGTGGCACCATAGGCCTAGACAAGGGCGGGGTGGGGTCACCCAGCAGGGCCTGCACCGTCATGCACACGGACTCAGAAAGCGACTCCAGGTTGTAGCCACCCTGGGAGGAGAGATGAAGGCAAAAGTGTCACGGGCAGAAGGCCCCTCCAACTGCCCCTCAGCCTCCGGCCCCTGGACCCTTCCTGCTCGCCACAGTCACCTCCAGCATGGCGCAGACACGACCCCTGGCCAGCACCTGCAGCAGCTGTGTGAGGTGGGCAAAGCACTCTGGCGTGGCCTGCATCTGCCCCTGGAACCAGAGCCAGGTGTGAAGGGGGCCTGGCCACTGGACACCACACGTCCTCCAAGTCAGGCCAGACCCTCACCTCCGGATCCCCAATCGCTGAGTCAAATCCTGCCGCGATTAGCACCAGCTCAGGATCAAACTGTAGGCGGGCCGGGTGGAGAGGGTGTGAAGGGGAGGCCCATGAGAGAGACCCTTCCCTGGACTTGCTCAGCTCTTGCAGGCCCCCCCGACAGTCACCTCAAAAGCCAGGGGGAGCAGCACGTGCAGAAAGGCGGCCATGTAGTCAGCGTCTCCCATCCCGACCTGCAGCAACGGGCGTCAGCATTGGCCCAGCCAGGCTCCGGGCCTCCACCCCCCGGACCTGGGCTCTGGGGCTGACCCTGGAAAGATGCCCTGAATGACCTTCAGGAGGCCCCGTAACCTAGGTGGGGGTCTGGATGGGGGCTGAGGGTGAAGGGTGGCACCTGGTTCCAGGGCAGGTTGACAGTGAAGCCTCGGCCTGGCCCCTGCCCGACAGCTACTGCATCAGACTCTGGCAGGTAGGGCCAGAAGCGCCCGTGCTCATAACGGTGCCAGGAGAAATAAAGGACACTGTGAATAACCAGCCAGGGTCAAAGATCAGGAGTCAGGAACCTCCACCCCATAGCTCCTTACAGAACTCTGACCCTTGAGCACACAGCTATGTCATCTGGATAGGACTTTTCCAGGCTGGGCTGTGTGCCCCAAAGAAGGGGGATTCAGGGAAGGGTTGTATCCCCACCTCCAGCTCACCTGGGGTCATCCTCAAAGATATACTGGATGCCCTGGCCATGGTGGACATCCCAGTCAACAATGAGGATCCTGGGGACAGATAGCGCTGGGCTCACTGTGGGGCAGGGCCTCCCCCTCCCGGCCAGGAGCCCAGCCCAGGACAGAAAGAAGCTGGGTAGAGGGTCTCTCAGCAACCTACTCTGCTCCACCCTTCCGTCTGGCCTGGCCCCACCTGCTGCCACACACCTCTGCAGCCCGTGTTTCTGCTGGGCATGTTTGGCCGCTATGGCCACATTATTGAACACGCAGAATCCATTGGCAGCAGCCCTCTGGCTGTGGTGCCCAGGAGGCCTGAGGGTGAGAGTAGGGCGTGGGGCCCGTCAGGGTCATCCTCTGCCAAGTGTAGGGCAGACAGGGGAGAGGGGCAGCTCTCACCTCACGAGGGCAAGCCCATTGTGCACAGCTCCGGTCAGCACTGCGTCCACCAGCTGCAGCGCAGCCCCCGCGGCCAGCCGCGCACAGTGGAAGGTGCTCTGTGGGGGCAAGGGTGAGATGAGCCTCCCACCGGCTACCCCTCACAGACTCTGCCCATGTCTGTGCCAAGCTGCAGGGCACCAAGTGTTGAATGGACTGGGCCAGGTGCCAGGTGCCAGCAGCAGCAGGTGTGTAAGGCATTGGCACATCCATGAACACAGGGACATTGGCAGGTTGGCAGCTATGGTCATGAATAGGCATGGGGATGTGGGTAGGTGAGAGGGTGTGTCCCCAGGGCACCCACCGGATGGAAGTAGACGGCATCATACTGTCCAGACAGTGCCTGGAGCTCCGCGGTGCCCAGGGACTGAGTCCTCCGCAACAGGTCCACGTACTCTGGGCTGCAGGGGGGCGGGGGACAAGGCAGAGTCACCAGCAGGAATGGGGGGCGGAGGAGAAAAAGGAACTGGACCCGGTGGGACTGCCCACCTCATTGCTCCCTCACCCACCCACCCAATGGAGAAACTGAAGTCTGTGGGGAAGAGGCACTGTTTGTGAGCTACTGGCCAGCTGGGGTGGGCTCAGGTCCTGGCCATTCGGCTGTCGGGGCCATCTGACCTGTGTACCAGGCCCAGCTCGGCCTCGGAGGCCTCTCGGGCTGTCAACCGCAGGCACCTCTGCTCCAGGCCACGCTGCTGCAGGAGTCCCATGGCGGTGGTCAGGCGCTCTGGACACTCGATCTCACACTCGGGACTGAGTGGACAGAGAGCTCAGGCTCCAGCCTCCTCCCGGTCCCCCACCTCTGCCAGGTCTCACTTACTCCTCCCAGAGCAGCCTGGCGGCAGTCATGTCTTCGTGATACACCAGAGCGGTCCTCATGGCCCAGACGCCCCGCTCGTAGGTGACCGCAACTGCCGGTCCCCACCTCGCAGCCCCAGGGAGCAGCGCAACGCCCGGGCCACAGCGGGCGGCGGGCACCCAGCCCGCGCAGGAACACGCGGAGCCGGGACAGGAGGGAGGCCTCAGGCTGCAGCCGGAGGCAGCTGGAGCGAGTGCGGGATCGGCGGTGGCACCTGGAGTCCGGCTTCCGGCTCCCTCGGGCCCGCCCCGCCCCCCGCGGCTGCAGCCCCAGCTCCACCTCCTCCGGCTCCGGGCCCGCCCCGCCCCCCGCGGCTGCAGCCCCAGCTCCACCTCCTCCGGCTCCGGGCCCGCCCCGCCCCCCGCGGCTGCAGCCCCAGCTCCACCTCCTCCGGCTCCGAGCCCGCCCCGCCCCCCGCGGCTGCAGCCTCAGCTCCACCTCCTCCGGCTCCGGGCCCGCCCCGCCCCCCGCGGCTGCAGCCCCAGCTCCACCTCCTCCGGCTCCGAGCCCGCCCCGCCCCCCGCGGCTGCAGCCTCAGCTCCACCTCCTCCGGCTCCGGGCCCGCCCCGCCCCCCGCCCCCCGCCCCCCGCGGCTGCAGCCCCAGCTCCACCTCCTCCGGCTCCGAGCCTGCCCCGCCCCCCGCGGCTGCAGCCTCAGCTCCACCTCCTCCACCTCCGGCCCCGCCCCGCCCCCCGCCCCGCTCCCCGCGGCTGCAGCCCCAGCTCCACCTCCTCCGGCTCCGAGCCCGCCCCGCCCCCCGCGGCTGCAGCCCCAGCTCCACCTCCTGCGCCTCCGGCCCCGCCCCGCCCCCCGCCCCGCTCCCCGCCCCCCGCGGCTGCTGCCCCAGCTCCACCTCCTCCGGCTCCGGGCCCGCCTCCGCCTCGTTGCCCTGCGCCCGGGACCCCGCGGACGTCTCGGAGGCCCCAACCACGGGCCCCGACACCACCAGACCGGGAAGAGCGCGACGGGCGGAGGAGCCAGGCAGGCGGAGAAGGCCCGGTCCGCTCGGGGTGCGCGCTTGGCCGGCCTGGGCTGCCCGGGGCGCAGCGCTGTCCCGGCGTCTCAGAAGCGGGTGACAGGGCCCTGGCCGGTGGGGCCAGCTGGTTGGAGCGTCCTCCCCAGTAACAAAAGGTCGCGGTCCCATTCCCGGCCGGGGCACATAACCAGGGTTCGAGTTTGATCCCCGGCAACCAGTCGGTGTTTGTTTCTCACATCCATGTTTCTCTCGCTCTCCCTCTAAAATCAGTTTTTAAACAATTTTAAAGGAGAAGGGAGTGGCAGGGTCCGATTTAAGTTCCGAAGAGCAGACCAGTCGGGTCAGGGTGGCCGCAGGACCAGAGACGCCGCCGCGTGGGGCCCAGGAAAAGCCGGTGGCGAGGGAGGGTCTGGGCGAGGGGTGAGTGACTGATGAGTGAGGGCAGCGAAGAGCGGGCACGGGCACAGAGCAAGAGGCCAGAGAAGGCCCCCGCAGCAGGCGCCTGAAACCTGGGGCCCTGAGGTGGGGGTCTGGGAGGCGGGGCCCTGGAGCCGGAGTGCCCTCAGTCCTGTTGCTGGCACCCCAGCATTGCACAGGCTCTGGGGGGCCTCCGATTGGGTCATTTGGGGTCAGGTGTCCGCCAGTTACGGTGGCGTGCTCTGATTGGCCATGCCGGGACACGTGGCCACGAAGAGCGGGTCGGCGGTGGACACCCCGTTTTGGAGAGCGAGCGGAAGGCCCTGGCAAGAGTCGGCCCCATGGCACCAAGGACCTCAGGTCCAAGAAGGCCGGTGTCCACTGTGGCAACTCGTCTTGCCCGTATTTGCTGGGTCAACTGTGCGTGTGCCCAGCCCGACTCCAGGCCGGGAGAACGGCCTGGCCCCGCTTTGGGGGCACCTACACCGGGGACAGGTGGTTTGAGTGGCACCCGATCGGCCTGCCAGCTCTCGAAGGCGTTGAATGGCCGGCAGAGGGCCCTAGGGGCTTGCCGTTGGCGCTGGGATGTGGCCGTGGGAGGGGCAGGAGGTTCCCAGAGAACAGAACCCACCCTCTCCTGAGACACTAGGACTGAAGCCTGAGGCTCCTCAAGGAGTCTAGCGTGGCCCCTCCTGCCTAGGAGGGCAGGGAGCTAAGACACCTGGGACTGAGCCCCAGGTTGGACTGAAAGCCCCATCCCCATCAGGCCCTGTCCCAAGGTCGGTCTCCAGAGTCCAAGCCATTAGAGAAAGGTCACCCCAAAAAGGGGGACAAGCCCCAATGGGGGTGTTCCAGGCTTGGGGCTCACTGGCACAGAAAGGGGAGGTGGGCACCCATTTGTGACTTGGGAAGGAGGGGCTGAGGCTCCCAGGCTGGCCTCCTTCCTCTGTCAAGCTGCAGCTCAGGCCTGGAGGTAAATGTCCAGCCAAAGAATCAGGAAGTGAAGCCAGAGTGGGAGCTCTACAAAAGGGTTTATTTCCTCCCAGCCCTGTGGTTACACCACAAGGACAATTTACATTCCGGGCTGGGGGTGCCAGAGAGTGCACACCCACACCCCCCAGGAGAGCCGTCCCTGAGTCAGCGCCTGCGCCCTTCCTGTCCTTCCTTCTCAGCCTCGAGAGCTGGGCCTCAGCACGGCCTTGATCCCAAGCCCCGCCCCACCCCACAGGCCCTGAGGCTTCTTGCTGCACCTGCTCAGGGGACCGCTGATCAGAGGCCAGCCCCAGGTCAGGCGGGTGTCCTATCCAGAAAGTCCAAATGCTCCTTCACGGTTAGGCTGTGGCGGGGGCCTGACAGCAGAGCCACAGGCTTGGGGGATGGGTTCTATGGAATGAGGAGTCTCCTGGAATGCAAGCCCCAGCCAAGGCCACAGGATTCTCCCTTCCAAGTGGGAGCGCCAGCCAGGGTCCCCAAGGCACCCCCATCACCCCCTCAGGGCCCAGGGGTCTTCACAGGGCCGTCTCCTTGGAGGCCTTGGCCCCCAGCTGCCGGGGAGGCTTGAAGCTGAGCACCTCTTTATACGTGTCACCTGGAGTGGGGTGAGAGAGATGGAGAGTCATGGGAGAAGGGACCCAATCATCCCTCAGAATCACCGACACAGAAAGGTAAATAAATAAATAACCCCCACAGTTCACACCACTTTGGACACCAGCAACCTGAGATACACGCTGGGCCCAGCCCACTGGTGCTCACTCTGACCTGCAGTGAATCCCATGGGAGTCCACTCAGGGTAGGGGTAGGGAGAGCTGCCAGTCCCAGACCACTGACCTAGGGGCCCACCACCCCAAAAACATCAGGGTCAGAGGTAATTGCTGGGGTGTGGGCATCAGGTGGGCTTCTTTGTCCCACACACGTGACTTCATCCCAGGCCACAGTCACTATCAGCCCACCCACGTTTGTCCACAGTGACTCTCCACCCTGATGGGGCTCCTGGAACCCGAAGCTGCTGCCCCTGAAGCGGCTGGGCAGGCCTCGGCCCACAGCCCGCCTTTGTGAGCACAGATGTCTGGGGAGGGGAAGTAAACCAATGTGTTCGCTCAAGCAGCTGCCCAGGGTCCCACTAGGACACACCTGTCTCTGGATCCAGAATATCTACTCAGGCTTGAATGGGAGCAATGCCAACCAACCACCTGCAGCGCCCGCCTTCCTCCCCAGGTCATGTCCCCTGAACTACGTTCCCAGAATGGAAACGAGCCAGCCAAGGGCAGGGGAAGGTCCCACCGGTGTGGCTCAGTGGTTGAGCGTCAACCCTGCACCAAGAGGTCGCCGGTTCAATTCCCGGTCAGGACACATGCCCAGGTTGTGGGCCTGATCCCCAGTGGGGAGCATGTGGGAGGCGGCCAATCGATGTTCTCTCTCATCGATGTTTCTCTCTCTCCCTCTCATTTCCTCTCTCTCTCTCTAAAATCAAAAAAGGGGAAAAAAATTTAAAAACAACAAAACAAAAAACCCTGCTCTACTCCCCTTTGAGCAGTCTGCAAATTGAGCAGGCTCTGCTCAGCCTACCCCAGCCTTTCACAGTCACCTGGCTAGTGGGGTGCAGTGTGGGGGACACGAGCACTCCACAAGCGCAGCTCAGGACACTGTGCCGTTAGAGCAGGGGGCCCGTGTGGCTCGCTCTGCCTGCAGCATGAGTGTGTTCCCTCTAACCCCAAGGCCAGGGCCATCCACACGGAGGCTTGGGTGCAGAGATCACTGCTGCGGAGCTGTCCCCCCAGGGAATCAGGAGGTGGTGAGAGTTTGCATCCTGACCCAGGGCTCAGCCACAGAAAGGCCACGTGTCCACCAAGGTCTGTAGTCAAAGCAAAGCTCTCAGCATGGTTTGTGTGGGCGGGGACCACAGAGAGGATCCTGTGGCCCCTGCGGTTTCCATAAGATCTTTTTTTAGCAACAGAAAACTTGCATCCAACTAAACCTAACTTAGATGCACAAAACACTGAACAGAGAAGTGTGGAGCCCCTGCTGGAGGCACCAAGGAACCGGGTGGTCCTCAGGGACATGGTTTGGGAACCACAATCCATCCAGCCCCACCCCTGCCCCTTTGTGCAGGACTATAGCCCTGGGTCCAAGGCACACCCAGGATGAAGCCTAGGACACAGTGGCAGCCATGTACCGTGGCCCCAGAGGTGCTGGCTGCTGCTCTCAGACATCCCTGCACCCCCAGGCTGGCCCTGCAGCCACCGAAAGACACCACACCCAGCCCTCATGGCCTGCCATTCTGAGTGCAGATGGACAAGGCCCGTTCCAGCATGGGGTGTCAGGGCCACAGCAGAGGGGGGCCTGGGGACTGACTGGGCAGGCCTCCTGGAACCCAGCTTGAGGCTAAGCAGGTGTAGTTTGATCCTCAGAAATGAGGGGAGGGGCCCCTGGTGGAAAGGTATGGCCATTGCAAAGCCTAAAGGTACAGGGCAACTACAGGGGGCCTGAACTGCCCAGAAGGACAGTAGGGGACAGGCGAGGAGGAGTGAGGGCTGGGGTGGCTGGGGTGGCCCTTATTCCACTGGCAGGAAGCGAGGGGCATGTAGTTTTCCAGGTGAAAGGGGTCATGGAAGGGACAAGGAGCAGCAAGGTCAAGTTCAAGTGTGAACAGAGGCCTGGGGACAAGTGGGTGTGGAGGGGCTCCAGGGTGGCCCGGGGCTGTGGCCTGGACAGGGAGAGGTTAGAACTGGGGCGGGGCCGGAGAGGCCAAGTGCTCACGACTGCCCTGAGCTTGCAGCTGCCTCCCTGTGATTTCCAGTGTGCTGAGCCCAGCAGGAGTCCACACCCTCCCTGCCATCCTTTTTTGTTTTTTTATCCTCACCCAAGGACATTTTTGCATTTATCTTCAGACAGAGCAGGAAGGAGAAAGTGGGGAAGAGAGAAAGAGAAACATCGATGTGAGAGAGACACATCAAGTGGTTGCCGCCCACACAGGGCCGGGGACAAACTGCAACCGAGGTACGTGCCCTCAGCGGGAACTGAACCTGGGACTCTCCAGTCCGCGGGCCGACGCTCTAACCGCTGAGCCAAATCAGCCAGGGCTCCCTGTCATCCTTTAGCTTCAGCCAGTGGTCACCTTGGCCAGGATGCCTCTGACCTTACCTGGTGAACCAGGACTCTGAGCCCTGGCAACCTGCATGGGGTTCATGGGGTCCAGCCACAGGCCCTGCCCAGAGCCCTCCACTCACGCTTCCACTCGTCCAGTGTGCGGTCCACGTCATCGAAGGATTCGTCGTACTTCTGGGCCTTGGGCTCGTCCTCCGCTTCATGCAGTGACTCGAAGTAGGGGTGGGTCAGCGCCTCGGCCGCCGTCACCCGCCGCTCCGCATCCAGCACCAGCATTTTCTCCAGGAGGTTCACAGCTACGGGGAGGGCAGGTCAGGGTGGGCGGAGAGGAGGGCCCACACCCCAGCACCTGGTCACTGGCCCCTCCGCGCCCCCAAGTCCGGCCCTACCCTGAGGGCTTGCATTGGTCAAGATGGAAGCAAAATCCTTCTTCTCCAGCTCGGGGAGGCCCTTCATGTAGTTCTTTGCCTGTGGTGGAAGGAAGGGTAAGGAGCCAGCTCCCAGCTCGCACAGGGCCCCCAGCCCACGCCCAGCTGCCCACTGACATCAGCACTCTGCAGCCTCTGTACAAAATCATCGGGAGGTGTGCCCGTCACCTTCAAGATCTCCTTCAGCTGGTCCAGGTCTTGGCCGAGCTCAGGAGCACAGTGTGGGCCAGAGAGCGGGGCTCATCCACCCACCCAGGCTGGACAGTGTGCCCAGCCCCCACCCCCACCCGGCCCCCCTGACCCCACAGGTGTAGGATACGGTCGTTGCCCTTGAACAGTATCTTCCCTGTGATCATCTCTGCCATGATGCAGCCCGCAGACCAGATGTCCACTGAGACAGAAGCCCCCTCGTTAGGGCTCTGTGTTCCAGGGGTTGGGGGAAGGACGTACAGGGGACGTGGACACAGGGGCCATCTGGCCTGCCACACCCTCCTGGCTCCCTCCCCGCCCAGCAGCCCCCAGAGAAGCAGCCACAGACGGGGTGTGGGGGTCTGGCCTGGGAGGCTGCAGCAGGGTGGCCCCATCCCTGGGCCACCTGTCTCTCACCTGTCTGTGTGTAGTGCATCCAGTTCAAGATGACCTCAGGTGCCCGGTACCACCGAGTCACTACATACCCCGTCATCTCGCTGTCTGCCTGCCTGGCCAGGCCAAAGTCCAGGATCTGCAGCCAGAATCAGGGAGGTGGGCCCTCGGAAAGTGAGGGGCCAGCCTGTGTCCAGGGGGCCCTGAGGGGACAGTACACTGGGGCTCCTGCCATCCTCCAGGGCCTGAGGTCACAGCCACGGACCCTCAGGTTTTCCCAGGGGTTTCTCTCCATGGCCAGTGCACCCAGCCCAACAGAACCTGCCCCCCCCCTCAGGGCCAGGCACCCCAAGGGGCCTCCTCGCCTTGTTCCTCCACTCCACGTCCCCTGGATCCTGGAAGGCACCTTTGGGGGGGCCTTTTGGGCCCTGCCCTGGCTCAGGCATGAGGGACTAGGGGACGCCTCCCATCCGCACCTCAAGTAGGTATGGGCGTGTGCCCAATGCCACCCCCATCAAGCGCCTCCCCAGGGCGCATCTGGCCATCAGCCGCTCGGCCACTGCTCATGGCCAGTCCCTCTGTCTGGGCCTGGGCCTGAGCCGGCCTCCCTCCAGATCCGAGGACCGAGGGCTCGGCAGGCAGATGGGCAGGGAGCCTGAGCCCCGACCCGACACACACCTTCAGCTCACAGTCCTCATTTACTGCCAGGTTGCCAGGCTTCAGGTCCTGGAGGCAGAGGAAAGGTGACTGTGTAACCCACCAGCAGGGGCCCACGGGCAGGAACCGGGCAGCAGCTGAGCCTGGGAACAGGCAGACTGGGGAGGGGGGAGGTGCCTGGGCCCCAGGGCTGTGTGCAGCACTGTGTGACACCCCCACCGGACCCCATCGTACCCTTACAGGTGGGAAACGGAGGGTCCTAGGAGTCGAGTCCCCCAAACACCCACACAGCCAGGGGAAGCTCCCACCACCACCGGGACTCACCCTATGAATGACGCCAGCAGCGTGGATATACTGTGGGGACAGAGAGAGGGTCAGCCATGTCAGCACACGGGGACCTCACAGCCAGGAGCCAGCCAGGGGCCGGCCCCCTCCACCCCGACATCCTCACCTTCAGCCCTCTCAGCATCTGGTAGACGAGAAACTGGATTCGGTCCTCGCTCAGCTTCTCATGCTTCATGAGCTTGCCCAGGTCGGTGCCCATGAACGGCATGACCAGGTAACTGCGGGGTTGGGGCCAGGCTCAGACCCAGGAAGCCCCCCGAGTCCTCCACCTCCCAAGTACCTACCTCACCCCAGAATGTCAAGCGGGCAGGGACTGTGCCAGGTGAGGGGCTGAGGACACCAGTGCTCACTGGCAGGGGTGGGAAGTGCCTTCAGGTCAGGGTGCCTTCAGGCAGGACACTGGGGTCCGAGGGGCAGACTGGGCGGGTGGAGGGAGACAGCGTGAGAGATACTTAACACCCTACCAGGGCACTGAGGCCCGTGTAGGTCCTTGACCTCTACAAAGTCAGACCACGGGGAACCAGTCCTCCCAGCCCCTCCCAGGCCAGGCCCCTGGCTCCCGGCCCACAGCAGTGTGAGCCCAGGGGTTGCTGCCCAGGAGCCACAGGGCAGGCACCATGCCGCCCCTCCCTCCCTCCAGCAAAGGTCAGCAGCTCCAGTTATGGCCACACACTGGGTGCCCGGGCCCAGAGCCCAGACCTGCTAGTTAACAAATGCTCAGGCCCAAGGCTCACACCTCCAGCCCTGAAGACACTGGTGCCAGGCGTCGTGGGAAGAGGAGGCCCCGGTTCCACCTGGCTGAGCCAGTGCCTTGGGTCCCAGGGGCACATGGCAGGGAGGTGGACGGTGGTGTGAAGACAGGGTCAGCAGTGTGCGTCCCGACCCCCATCCAGGCTACAGAGAGGGGCCTGCTGAAGGCCCGGAACCCAAAGTTGGCACCCAGAAGTGACCCAACACCCCTCCACCCTGTCTGGCCAGCCCCAGGCCAGCACTCACAAGTCTGTGAAATCATCCAGGCTTTCATCTGGGGTGAACACGTCCAGCAGCCCAATCACCTGGGGAGGAGGCCAGAGCACCAGGTGGGATGGAGGCACCTCTCTCAGGCTGGTACTGTGCTCCAGGCAGAAAAGCCCCTGCAGCTGTCCCCATGTCCCTTCCTTGTCCACAGGGCCAGCTCTGCCCACTGGCAGCACCACCCAACCCTGGCACACCTGCCCACAGACACAGGCTATTTTTGGATGGGGACAGCTGGGATCCTCTGGGGGAGGGGCAGCCCCAAGTCTGGTTCGGCTCCCAGCCATCCAAGGAGCTCCAGTTCCTTGGCCCTTCCTCCCTCTTCCTTTCCCCATTGAAAACCTGCGGCCAGGATGGGGGCAGCCTCTCAGGGGAGCCAACATCCGGCAGATATTTCCCAGGCAGGCAGCACTGTGACCAAACCGACAACAGACCTCGCCCTGCAGACCCCCAGTCAGGGGCGATGGATAGCAGGCAGGTAATGTGACAACTGGGGCTCAGGGTGCAGGGCCTCCAGGGACCCAGGGAGGCCTGCACACTGGAGCAGCAGAGGGCCGGGCGGATGTGCCGTGGCGGGAGGGACACCTGGCAGAGGCCGCGGGCGTGGGGGTGGAGGCAGAAGAGAGCACACTTTGAGCACCTGAGAAACATGGGGAGGGAGGCCAGGTGGCCGAGGCCCAGGCCAGGAAGCAGCCAAGTGGAGGCCAGAGGGAGCCCTCACATGCCAGGGGAAGGCTGGGCTCTCATCCTAGAGCCGAGAAGGAAGGGTTTAAACAGGCGTGACACCGTATGTGGGGACAGACCGGAGTGAGGCGAGAAGGACACGAGGTGAAGGGACAGCTGGATGACCACTGCAGCCACCAGGACTAGAGCCATGGGCCAGGGCTGGGGCGGCAGGGGGAGGCAGAGCGGGATGTCCAGAGAGAGGTCTGGAGGCAGGTGAGGCCTGGGGGCACCTGGAGAGTGTTTGAGTGAGAAGAGGACCAGTCCTGGAGGTTGGGGGACATCAGGTTGAAGGACACTTCTGTGCCTCTGAGGTGCCAATGGCAGCCGGCACTGAGGGTAGGACAGGAAGGAGACGCGAAGTGGGGGTGGAGGGGCAGAGCAGGGTGTGTACCATCCACCTGCCCTGGACTCGGCCTCTCAGAGCCGGTTTCCTCCCGGGAAGGGGGGTCCACAAATAGGCCGAGCCTCCCAGCTGTGTGCAGGGTGCTCTGGTGGGTCAGCCCAAGGGGTGTGGTAGGACTCACTGGCACTGTGGGGGAGTCCCCAACACAGGCCCAGGGAGAGCAGACTGAGGATGGGGGGCCTGCCAGGGCAGGGGTGGGATGGGCAGGATGGGTGGGTGGGAGTGGGGGGCAATGAGGAAGAAGTCGGATGAAGTCAGAAAGACGAATCTGCCCTCACGCGGACAAGGCCCGGGGTGGTACCAGGTGTAACGGGGAGATAGTGAGGCCTAGGCTGGGCTGGTGGATTTCTGCGTTTCCTGGGGGCCTCTTTATATTGAGGGAGGCTGGTGGCTCCAATGACCCAGGAGGGGCCAGACTGTGGGTCAGGAGCACGATTAGCCAGGGTCTGGGCGCCCAGACCACCAGCCCTCAGACTGGGCCCAGATAGGGGTGAGGCGGGGGTGGGGCACAGTTCTGGGCTGCAGGGGATCCGCACTGGGAAGCAGCAGGAGCTCCCCTGGCCAAGCCGCCAGCAATGGCCATCAGAGAGGCCCAGGGCAGCCCTGTGTGGGGTCCTGTGGGCAGGTCAGAAAAGTAGGGAGGCCTTTCCCTGGTGAGGGCCCAGATCTGCCACTCCCCCACGGAGAGTCCATGAGCCCCGGCCAGAGACAAGAAGAAAGCATCAGCCCGTTGATCACTGTGTCCAGTGACCTCCACAAACCAGCTCCCTAAACCCTTACACCCCTGGAGAACCCAGGCTCTGAGGTGACAGGGCCAGGATGTCCACTCCCCTTCCATGTCCAGCTCTGCATTCCCGGGGCCCCCAGGGCCTCAGGCTGCCCAGGAGGTGGACTGGAGCAGAATGGGGTCAAGTGGAGGCCAGAAGGGCTGGAGCAGGCACCTGGGCTGGGGCTGCGGAGATGTCTGCAAACAGGGAGGAGGCTAAGTGCCCCTTCCAGGAGAACAGCTCCACATAATTTGGGGTGAGGCCTGGACCATCCCCTCGGTGGGGGCAAGCAGCCATCCCCTGACCACAGCCTGTGCTGCAGGGTCAGAGGTGGCCCAGGAAGAAGCTGCGGTGGGAGCTAAGCCTTTTCCAGGGAGTGGCCTGGGAGGAGAGGACCAGAGCAGAGGAAGCAGTCCCCACAGCGGGGATGCGAAAGTGGCCGGTGGGAGGCACTGCCTTGGGGCAGGAAGCAGCAGGGCCAGGCGCGCAGGGCGCGGTGTCCGAGCGCGGCCCAGCGCACTCACGTTCTCGTGGCGCATGTGCTTCAGGAGGCGCAGCTCCCGGTAGGCGCGCTTGGCGAACAGCTCGGACTGGAAGGGCCGGTACAGCTTCTTGATGGCCACTTTGGTGCCTGTGCGGCTGTCCACGGCGGAGCTGCGGGGCGCACGGCTCAGCGGGAGGGCCGGCCACCCCGCCCCGACCCCCGCCGCCCGGACGGCCTTCCCGCCCGGCCTGCGCTCACCACACGGCGCCATAGGCGCCCGAGCCCACGGGCTGCAGGTCCTGGTACACGGCGCGCACCTCCCAGGCGGTCTTGGTCACCTCCTGGCGGTAAAAGCCCCTGCGGGCGGGCGGCGGAGAGCTCATGGATCGGCGGGACTCCCCGGGCCACCACGCTGGTCCTCTGCTCCCCGTTCTTCCCTTCGGCTCTCGGGAGCCGCCGATGCCGACCCCGGCCCCTGTGGCACGCGATCCCTCCCCGGCCGGCGGACCAACCGGCCCCTGGGCGACGCGCACGTGATGCCCCCGCCCGCCCTCCGGCCCCTCCGGAAACCCGAGGCGGCGGCCGCCGGGGAAGGCCCGAGGCGGGGGACAGACGAGGGAGAGGCGGACGCAGGGGGAGGGGAACGGCGTCCGCCCCTAAGCCCCAGCCTGAACCGGACGGGCGCCTGACTGAGACCCCGGCTTGTCTCGGCACTCAGGCTGAACTCTCCGCCCGGTCAGGGGGGGACCCACAGGGCTCCTGTTTCTTCGTCACTAACCATGCCCCCAGGACGGTGGGCCCGCAAGACTTCTATCCCTGCCCCAGGTCACTGTCCACCAGCTCCTCCAACGTTCACCCCCCCCAAACGGGGTCCCTGACCCCTGAGACCCCTGAGCTGAGCACTGAGTTCTGATGTGGATCAACTCCCCATCCCCCAGCATGCCTTCTTCCCTGGGGCTGATCCATCCATCCCCCACTGTGGCTCCCAAGCACCTGTCTTGCCTGCATCCCTTTTTCCAAATGGGGGAGTTTATTCTGTCACCCAAACTTAGGCTACATCCCCAACACCCCTCCCTGTGACCATTGACCCCAAGCCTCCCAAACCCAGGAGCCAGAGAGGTGGTGCTGTAGGTCTCCCTTGGTCCCTGTGCACCCCCAGCTCCCTCTCCCCTCACTTGGCACTTGGGGAGCCTGCTGTCTGTCCACCCCCAGTCCAGTTTACTCCCTTCTGTTTGTCCTTCAAAGCCCTGCCTGAGCCTCTCTGCTCCCTCCAAGAAGGTGTGCCTGACCCCGGGGTGAAGGAGGACCCTACTCCAGCTCAGTGCCCCCTTACTCCCCTTGGTGGGGGCGTCATTCTTTCATGAGTCACACTCCATCCTGGGCCAGACAGTCTGTGAAGGGCAGAGCCTCCAGCCCCCTCCCACATCTTCCCCCAGCCCAGCACCCAGGTCTGAGAGGGAGTGGGGTAACAGGATCCCCAGGCCCCCGCCCCGCCCTCTGTGTCCTGCCACCATGAATCAGCAGCTCAAGCCCAGCCAGAGCAGCTTTACACCTGGGTTGCCTGCCGGTGATGCTGAGCACTCAGGACTAGTCAGTGGGGACAGCCTGGGGCCACCGGAGCCACCACCACCTGTACCCCATGCCCTTCATGCCCTGGCCGCCCGGGGCACTCCACCTGTCTCCTCCAGGAGGCCCCTAGTGGCTGTGGGAGTAGGGCCCAGGGGCCCAGTAGGGTCCCCATTCCAACCAGACCCTCGGGTGGGGCATGGCCCAGTTCTGCTCCAACTCCCTCCCCCCACACAGGACTTAGCATAGCTTGGTCCCCAGAGGCTTCCCAGCACCTGAGGCCCAGTAGCCACACTGCCCAGGCCCCTGGATGTTCAACTCCCAGATAATCTCCACCCCCAAAGCCCAGGCAAGGGCGCAGAATGTCCTTGTCCTGGAGACACCCTGCTTGACCCCCTCTGGGGCCCAGGCCCTCCCCCACCTGAGCTGCAGCAGCTCAGTGTGTGTCCAGAGAGTTGAAGTGGACTTTTCCCTTCACCAGGAAGGAAGTTACTTCCCTCACACAGCCCAGCCTGAGGCAAGGGCAGGCCTTTGCTCCCAGGGACCCTCAACGACCTCCCAGCAGCCTCCTTGACAATCGAGTGTGGGTGGATCTGCGGGGGGCCATCACAACCTGCCCTCCTCCCCCCCCAGCCCACTGGCCTGGGTGGAGCAGTGAGGGTGCTGAAGAGGGTGCCTGTCTGACTGGGGACCTCAGGGATCTGGCCAGTGCGGCGGTCTGGGTGGCCAGGCCAGCTGGGGTGTGATGCACGGAGATCTGGCCACCCCCTCCACACAGGGGGACAGCGGGGCAGCCCTGAAGCCTGAGACACAAGCTGAGCAAGAGGAAACCTCTTTTATTGAGTCACCCTAGGCAGGCACTTGACATTTAGAGCTCCCCGGGTCCTGCGAGGTAGGAGGTCACCATCTGACACCTGACACCACCAGTGGACAGAGAAGACACACCTCTAACACATCTGGAGCAGGGTCCTGTTCCAGAGGTTACTAGGTTAGCTCCACTCTGGAAGGAGGGAGGACCAGGGTCAGCCCACAGACCGGGGCACCCAGCCCTCAGCCACAAGGCCAGAGAGCAGGCCGAGGCTTCATCAGCTCTCAGCCAAGGTCCAGGGTCCACGTCCAAGTCTACCTCAATGTGTGCCAGACCCCTCAGCATCCCCCAACTGCATGCTTGCCAGCTCCTCGGCAGGCCCTGTGCCCAAGGAGAACACCCTGGCGTTTGCTCCTGTGGTTGTCCCTTCCCCACCTGAGCCCCTCACACGGTGCACAGCAGGATCTCAGCAACCCCCACCAGACACTGGAGGAGGGAAGAGAGGCAAGTATAGCACCCCACCTTGGGCCTCCTGCTGGTCACAGCCACTGGCTTTGGGTGCCCACAGCTTCACACACGCTTTCACGTGGAAACACCAGGAACACACATCAGGGCACATGTGCCACACAACACAGGGAGACACATGGCTCCAGGCATAGTCTGACTTGACACTTGGTGGCTGTCTCCACCCTGCTACTCCCCAGGGAAGGCCCTGTCCAGCTCTCAGGCCTTTGGGTCTTAGCATTTCTCAGGGTAGTCTTCCACTTCCAGGCTGAGCAACTTAGACCACTAAGACCCCTCCCTTTGAGCCTCCAGGGGGCCCCGCTGCACCACTCCCCAGAGACAGCTCACTGGGACCGAGATCTGGAGCCAGACACACTCCCCTGGGAGCCCCCTAGGCATCCAGGTCCTCACAGCAAGGTCCCAAGGGAGTCCCTGGTTGTTGGGAGGTGGTGGAAGGGCTGAGGAAGTCCCGGACACTCTGTCCAGACTCCTACGCCCATGGCTTGCACACGTGTACACATTCATGCATCCGTATGTGTGCATAGACACCCACAAGGACTGGCATGCAGACCAGGGGTCCCAGGCCAGGGATCCAGTGGCGGGAGGCGATCCTCGTGGGAACCAGGCAGGCACTGCCGGGAACTGGGGCAGGCAGCTCAGGCCCCTCCTTGAGTTCCAGCGGGGCTCACTGCTCAATGCCCAGGCTGCCAGGAGGCTGCGGCGTCTCTGGGGGCTTGAAGCTGAGGACTTCCTGGTAGGTGAGTTCTGGGGGGTGAGGGGAAAGGTGAGCTCATGCTGCCACCAGCCCAGTACTCCCCATGCACCTCTCTGGTGTCAGCCACCCAGCCCAGGCCCACCACCATCTGAAGGCAGCGTCAGTCCACGGCCCCTCCAGAGCCTGCCCTGGGCTGTCCCCATGCTCTGCTGAAATTCCAGCCCTGTCTCTACCTGTCCTGCCCTGGGGTTGACAGACCACCCTGAGGAGGAGCTGAGGCATTGCCTGCCTCAGTGGGAAGGCAGCCCCCAGGCCCCTGGGCTCGCCCCCCTGCTCTGTGCCCCCCCCCCAGGCCCCTGGGCTCGCCCCCTGCCCTCTGGCCCCCCAGGCCCACCCTTCCACTCCTCCACAGTGCGTTCCTTTGCCTCAGTGCTCTCGTCATAGGGCTCAGCCTCGGGCTCATCGTCAGGGTCGTGGTACTGGCTGAAGTAAGCATGGGCCAGGGCCTCAGCTGCACTGATTCTCTGGTCACTGTCCAGCACCAGCATCCTTCCCAGGAGGTCCACGGCTGGAGAGGCCGGGAGAGAAGGGGGTTGGAGGTCAGCTCTGCATCCAGGGCGACATGGAGCCCAGCCGAGACCCAGGGGCAGTCCTCACCTAGGGGGTTGGCTCCATGGAAGATGCTCCTGAGGTCCTTCTGCGGCATGGGGGGCAGGGACTGGATGTATGTCCGGGCCTGGGGGCACATGGGAAGCGCCTGAGGGGGCTGCTTACCCTCTACCTCCTCTGCCTGTAAGCCAGGCAAGGGCCTATCAAGAGAAGCCCCATGTTCATTCACTCCAACAGGCCTGGGCCTGGTGCTGCCCCTCCGTCCAGGGCACTGTTGCAGGTACTCCAGTTCTGTTCACTGTTGCTCAGGGCAAGAATGTCTTCCCTGTTCACCCGCTTCCCCCTGAAGGGGCCAGGCACCTGCCTTGGGCCCTGTCCACTGTGGCCCGTGCTCCCCACATGGTGCCTGGTCCCATCTCACACTGGCTTCCTCCAGGGCACGGGGACTTGGTCAGCAGAGGAAGCTGGTGGCTGGTGACTCACGTGTTCCGAGGAGATCTTTGCCAGAACCTCCGGGCTGGGTGTGCCCACCACCTCCATGATGCGTTTCAGCTGGTCAATGTCTGCCTGGCTCAGGAAATGCCCACTGGACAGACACAAACGCTTCTCAGGACCCCAGATCCTAGATCTTGGGGCGATGGCCACAACCTACTCTCCTACAGCTGGGAACAGTGAGCCCAGTTGGCACGGCATGGACTCGAGGAGGCAAGACTGGCCAGAAACACCTGAGCCCCGCCCCCCTGACCCCCTACCAGAAGTAAGGGACCCGGCTCAACCCTCCCCAGCCTGGGCCAAGGATACAGTCATTTCCCGGAAAGAGGGCCTTTCCTTGGAGTAGCTCAGCCATGATGCAACCCACAGACCAGATGTCCACTGCTGGGAGAGAAAACCCATCAGTCTGTCACCCCAAGTCCCTCCTCAGAGAAGTGGGGGGCTGCCTGGACTGTGCCAGCCTCGTGCCCTGGGCAGGGGGTGGGGCTAGCTAAATACCTACCATGTTCCGCCCCTCTGAAGGTCTGTTTCTGCCTGCTGGCCCCCAAGATTGGAACCCCCCATGTCCTTGTCTTTACTCCTCCCCAGGCCCTGGCATGAGCTCTGCTGGCAACCCTGGTCCCGCAGCACAGCCACCCCACAGGGATTGACGTCACCTGTCTGGTTGTAGTGCATCCAATTGAGCATGATCTCGGGGGCGCGGTACCAGCGTGTGGCCACATAGCCCGTCATCTCCTCGTCCGCCTGGCGCGCCAGCCCGAAGTCCAGGATCTAGAGCACACACCAGTGTCAGTGCCCAGCAATGGCTCCTCCCGCCCTGACCCCAGCACTCACCCTGAGCTCGCAGTCCTCGTTCACTGCCACGTTGCTGGGCTTCAGGTCCTGCAGGGTGAGGGTGAGGGTGAGGGTGAGGGATGGGGGCGCAGGAGGAGCTCCCAGGAGGCCCTGCAGAGCCTGACCCTCACCCCCGCACCTACCCGGTGGATGATCCCGGCCGAGTGGATGTACTGCGAGAAGGAAGGCTGCGATCAGGTTCCTGCCCTGGCAACCGCCGGGCGCCCTGCTCAGGGCCCGCCCGCCTGCCCGTGCCCACCTTCAGCCCCCACCTTCAGCCCGCGCAGCAGCTGGTACACGAGGAATTGAACATGCTCGTCGCTCAGCACCTGGCACTTGACAATGTTGTTTAGGTCGGCACCCATCAGGGTGGTCACCAGGTACCTGGGAGGGAGCAGGAGAAGCAGTCAGGACGGAGCCCCGCCGCGCCCTCCCCACCGCGCCAGGCCCCGCTTACACTTCGCTGAAGCCATCGATGGAGGTGGCCGGGGTAAAGACGTCCAGCAGCCCGATGACCTGGCGGAAGAGGGTCAGCATGGCCGTCTGGCCCAGGCCCGCCCAGGCCCCCGCAGGGAGTCCCAGCTCACATTCTCATGCTTCAGGTGCTTGAGCAGCCGCAGCTCCCGGTACGTCCTCCGCGCGTGGATCAGCGACTGGAAGGGGCGCGACAGCTTCTTCACCGCCACCTTCTGACGAAGCCGTGCATCGTAGGCCGAGCTGCAAGGCGGCGGGTGAGGCAGTGGCAGGTGGCGAGGACCACGGTGCACAACGCCCCAGGGCGGTCTGGGCCGAGAGCGGTCAGCACACAGCCGCCCCCCGCCTCTCCCCCGCGGGGGTGGGCTCTTTCCGCCACCCCTGCTCGCCCACCGCTCTGCTCCCACGGGGCGTTTGCTCCAGGGAACCCTTGGGAGCTGGGCCGCCATCCAGTTGCTGCCGCAGGGTCCCCAGGAGGAGAACGTGACCAGCGCTTCCTGCGTGCCTCTTCCGGTCCAGGAGCAGCTCACCCTGCACCCCACCCCTCCGCCCAGGCCTCCAACACGCAGGATCCGCCTGTCCCACCTGGGAACCCCAGGGCAGGACCTGGATCGTTTGTCTCCTCACTCAGTGACTCTCACCCCTAACCCAGACTGAGGCTGGAGACAGTCTCTACAGCCAGTGTGGAAATGACACCCCAGGTAAACAGCACTGGCTGTTCACACCACGAAGGGCCAGGAGGCTCCGGAGGGTTCCAGAGCCGCCTCCAACGCCTCTGGATATTTAAGACATGGTGGGGGAAACTGGCATCATTGTTTTCAGCAGAGGGAAACCAGGCAGGAGGAAACATCTAGCAGAGGACGGTGTCTGAAACCACATACCTCCCGGGTGCCCAACCCCAGTCTGCAGAGGTCCAGACCCTCTACCCCCACACCCATCTACTCTTTACAGGGGACTCAGCAGTCACTGGCATCATCCTTAAACACAAAGGATCCAGCCACCCCACCCCCACCCCAGGTCCCACTGCACTCAGTCTGGGGCCCTGCTGAAAACATTGCTTATGCTCAGACTGTTCCCTCCAGCTGATGCTTCTCCCTTCCCTCCCTCCCACTTCACCTCCTATCTCTGGGATCTTGCCTTCCCCAAGAGTGAGCAGAGTCCACACAGTGCTGGGAGCAGCTCCTGCAAGACTAGGGGTGCGCATGGGCCCAGGTAGTGGTGGAAGAACACCAGGTAGGTGCCTGGGGCATCTGTGCCCTCCCGTAGTCTATCACCGGTTGGGGAAGGTTCAAGTCCTTGGGTGGGAAGTAGGGGTGACTCCTAGGTGGGACAGCAGATGTATTGCCTGTGTCAGTGCAGCTAAGAAACAGGGTGTGGGCCCTGAGCACACAGCTTCATCAGAACAACATGGGAGCCCAGGATGGGCCATCACCTGCACTGGGCCACCACAAGCTCCGTGCTGTGAAGAGAGACATGGACTCCCCATGAGAAGCTCGACACTCACTAGGGACTCCCAGAAAGCAATTCTGGGCTGGATGCAATTCCAGCAAGGGCTCTACCAGATGCCCCTCGAGCCACTCGACATTGTCCCTGCCCCGCTTCTTGCCCTTGGTGTCTTAGAGAAGAAGACAGAGGCCCGTGGCAGGCAGGGATGCCTGGAATGACCAGCCTGAGGTTCCTGGCTGCTGAGATCAGCGGCCACAGGGACCTCAAGCCCCTGCTCCAGGCTCCAATACTGGTCTCAGGACTGGCTGGGGAAGTCCTATTCTTAACCTTCCGCCAGAGCCTGGAGCAATGCCATTTCCCCTGAGGGCCCCTTTGTCCCCACCCCCAAGCCCCTGCAGTGGACAGCAGCCACCTGACACTGGCCTAGGTAAGGAACCCACTGGATGCTGGAGGGAGGGACACCTGTCAACATCCACACCCACTATCAGCCTCACTGACCAGCATTGCAACGGACACCAGGGCTTCCTGCGGCCACCTGACCCTCAGCCACCTTCCTCCAGCTTCCCCATCCTCCAGGGTAACATCTGACCCTCCTTCTCCATTCCAGATTCTGTCTGTCTGGGCCCCGGAGCCTAACTGCAGGGCTGTGGTTTGAGCTCTTGTTTGGGGCAAAAATGGGGGTGGGGCATAGAACCCCCTCAGGATTGTAGGAGTAATGGCAGGTGTCTTTGCTTAGGCTTAAGCCCTACCAGGAGTCTGAGACCCCTTGCAAAACAGGAGGAAAGGGCAGGACTCCCCAGGAAGCCAGAGGCCATCCTAAGGGGAGGGGGCTGGCCCTCCCCCTAGCCAGGCTTTTCTTTCTTTCTTTCTTTCTTTTTATCTTTTCCAGAGGATACTTTTGCATTTATCTTCAGATAGAGCAGGAGGGAGAGACTGGGGGAAGAAAAAGAGAGAGAGAGAGAGAAACACCTACACATGGACTGGCCGCCACCCACACGACCCCAACCGGGACCGGGGACAAACTGCAGCCGAGGTCCGTGCCCTTAGCGGGAACCGAACCCGGGACTCGACTCTCCGGTCCGCGGGCTGACGCTCTAACCGCTGAGCCAAACCGGCCAGGGCTGGGCTTTTCTTTTTCAAACAAAAATACCCACCCTGGGGCGGAGGCCTCTGCAGACCCCGGAGCTGCCTGACCCTGGACCAGGGACACCCCAGATGCGTGTTCGGACATTTTGGGACCCGGGAGACCCGCCTTTTCACCGCCTGTGACGCTGCAGTTTTCGGGCCTGGTGGGGGACAGTCCGGGTGCACCGGGTGGGAGACCGACCCCTCTCCCTGCCCCGAGCTGCGTCTGGTAGGAAAGTTTCGCTCACGCCCCCCAACCCCCATTCATTGCACTGATCCGCGCAGGGCCCGGGGGCGGTTCAGGGCGAGGCCCCACCCCACGCCCCGAGCCCCCTGCCGGGCGGGGCGCACGCTCGGTCCCGCCCCGGCCCCCCGCCCGCTCCCCCGCCCCGCCCCTACCAGACGGAGCCGTAGGCGCCCGAGCCCACCGGGCGCAGCTCCTGCAGCCGCTGCGGCACCTCCCACACTGTCTTGTTCAGCTCCTGCCGGTAGAAGCCGGCGCGCGGGCCGGTCATGTCCGCCCGCGCCCCCCGCCGCTGGAGCTCCAGCCGAGCGCACGGAGGGCGGCGCGCTGGGCGGGGCCGGCGAAGGGGTTCGCGGAGACGAGACGGCTTCCTGCCCCTCCGAGGCGCGGCGGAGCGGAAACCGGCCCTGCTGTCACCTCCCGGGCGGTCCCGGGGAGGATGGGCCTTGCCGGCGGAGGGGGAGACCAGAGTCGGACTTACAGCCCCTCCCGCTGCTCCCGCCTGGGGTCCACGCACCTCTCCAGATATCCGCCCACCTCTGTCCTTGCCGGGGTGCGGCCGATCCAGGCTGCAGCCGCCTCTCTCAGGACTCGGCTCCTAGCACCCTTCCCGCCGGCACGGGCGCCGGCACCTCCCCTCACCCCACCTCCCGTCCCGCACCCCCTTCCCCAGCTCCTCCCTCAAAATGAAAGATGCCTGGGCGAACCATCGTCAACATGGAAAACACCACCTAATACAACTAGACACGAGGTTGGCTAGGGCCCCCTCTGCGACGGGCAGATGGCGCCTTGGGTCCCGGGCCAGCCAAGCCCCTCCCCGTGGAGGCCGGTCGGGCCGCGGTGGTGTGGCTGCCTCCTGGCAGACCTTCCCCGCTCTGCTGTGTGCCGCCCAGCGCCGCTTGGGTGAGTGACCGCCCGGCCAGGCCTTGGGACCAGCCCTGTCAGGACCAGGGACAGCGGCGACACCAGGGGGCCCTTGGGGTGTGGTACCCATGAGAAGCTTTCCCTAAATGGGTTGTTTTCGGTGCCTGGTACCTTTCTTCCTTCTGAAACAACCCCCCTCAGCTGCCACCTCTTCCAGGAAGCCCACCCTGACTTCCCTAGGTACGGAGTTGTTCCCAGGGGCTGTAAACTGCTCTGCCAGGTGTTCCTCCTACTGGCACGACGGCCGCGCCCGCATCTGCCCAGCGCTCGGGCATCTGCTCGTATGTCCCACCCTGCAGTGGGGACAAACTCCTCCTGACGCCCGCCCCGGGGCAGCCCCTCCCAGGAAAGCTGGAAATTGGGCCTTTGGGTGGCCCAACGTTCTGTTGTTGTTGTTTCAGAATAAGCTAAAACCTGAGTGTTTTATGCAAATTACCTGATTGTTAAATATCGGCAACCAAATGAAAATAAAATATGTGAACACAGCACCGGGCAAACGGATACATCTGCCCAGAGAATCCAGCCCCCGAGGAAGCGGGCTGAGTCCCCGTGGCGAAGCCCACCCTCGCATGACCGTGGCCAAGTCCGGAGCCACCCGGCTTCAGTCTCCTGTCCGGGAGCCGGTGTCCCTCCCCCAGCTGCCTGCTCTGGGTCTCCTCCAGGGCCCCGCGCTGGGGCGCCTTTCTCGGGCAGATGAGGTTTTGTGCGGAGTTAATGAGGCTTCAGCTAAAGCCGGGGGAGGGGCAGGGCGGGAGCGGAGCCCGGGCTGTGGGAACCGGCCGCTCGGCCTCGGGGAGGCCGGCCTTTGTCTGCGCAGGCGGCGGGCCAGCGCGTCCCCATGGCGACCGGCCCCGCCCCCGCGCAGGTGTCTGACAACCCCCTGCCCTCCCCAGCGGGTGGGGTCGGCCCACCCAAGTGAGACCCCTCTGGGCCGTCCCCGCTGCATCCCTCAGAATCCCGCGGGTGAGTGGTCAGAGCCAACCCGAGGGGAGCAGCCTTCCCGCCTGGCTCAGCGGGTCCCACGGAGTGGGGACCCTCCCCATTAAGCAAACCTGCCTAGGACCCGCCATCCCCCGCCCTGTCACGCTGGCCCTAGGCAGACAAGCCCCCCACGCTGCCTTCTGCGAGGGTATGGGATGTAACAGTGCAGGGGAGTAAGACAGGGGTGCAGCGGGGAGACCTCTGGAGGGGTGACAACAGACAGTCCTGCTTCTGAGACTTGGCTTGACTTAAGGAACAGAAAGGAGGGGGGTGGCCATGGTGCTGGGCTATGGTGGACTGGAGGTGGGGCATGGTCAGATTTCAGGTTTCTGTTCTCAGGGAGCCCTGCCGGACATTGTCAGTGTCATCCAGGCCACCAGGTCAAGGTTGCCATGTCTGGGTGGGACACTGAGCCTGCAGTGGTGGGGGCAGCAGCCAGGAGAGGTAGGAACATAGGTGTGAGGGTGGGGGGCTGACAGAAGAGCCTCCTACCCGGGCCTCAGCCCTGGTCTCCCTTTAGCCTCTACTGTGACTCACTGTAACCCCTGAATGTCAAAAGCACAGCTGTTCTTTGTCCAGTCCCCCTCCACTGGGCCAGCTCACACCCTCTCAGCCCCAGGCCAGCCTGGTTGTACTTCTCCGAGGTCACAATGAACTTCCTAAAATTCTTTTTTTTTCTACCCTCACCCGAGGACATTTTTCCATTTTTTGTTCAGATAGAGTGGGAGGGAGAGAAAGAGAAACAACGACGTGAAAGGGACACATCCAGTGGTTGCCACCTGCACAACCCAACCAGGGCCGGGGACAAACTGCAACCAAGGTACGTGCCCTGAGCAGGAACCGAACCCAGGTTTCTCTGGACCACAGGCCAACACTCTAACCACTGAGCAAAACCAGCCAGGGCGAACTTCCTAAAATTCTAACCAGGCTGGCCCTGGTCGGTTTGGCTGAGCAGTTGGAATGTTGGCCCAAGAGTCACGGGTTTGATTCCGGTCAAGGGCATGTACCTCAGTTGTGGTTCTGGCTCTGGCCCTGGCCTGGGTTGTGCAGGAGGCAACCAGTCGATGTCTCTCTCTCCCTCACCTTCCCACTCTATCTGATGATAAATGAAAAAATGTCTTCTGGTGAGGATTTAAAAAAAAATTCTAATCAGTCTGTGTCAGAGCTGGGGTTCCTGCTCTTAATGAACGAGCAGGGTGTGGCCTGCAACTTGAAAGTCGAGGTGCCAGTGGCCCACTCCCAGAAAACATCCCGACCACAAGTCTGGCCTGCTCACGCCGTGCGTCCCAACCTCCAGCGTTGCTTCACGGGTCCCATGAGAGGACAGCTTGGGGATCCCCTCATTCCTTTCCCCATCCCCAAGCTTCAGAGCGGAGGGGGCAGAAGTGGTGTGTTGGGGTCCAGTCTTGAAGCCAGGTCTCCAGCTTCACCTTCAAGCTCAGCACTCCCAGGCTGTTCCCGGGCTGACCTGGCATAACTCATTCAGATTCCCTCACGAGCTGTCTCGGAATGGGGTGGGGGTGGGGCAGGGCTTAGTGTGCACCATGTAGCACTGTCATGTCAGGGGTCCCTGGACAGGGATGTCCGTTGTTTGTCCAGTGGGAGACACCGATCCTTGTTCCAAGCGTCCTCAGACAGATGGCTTATGTTTAGGCCTCACCCACCGAGTCTCCCCAGCCACAGTGATGTGCTGTGCAGGGCGCAGGTTGGGGCTGCCTGCCACCAGCATCCCTGCTGCCGGGGCATAAACTAGCATGTACTGGGAAGTTCAGACACGTGGAACCCAGACGTGAGCACCTGGATCCAGCCATATGTGAAGCTGGACTACCTCCACTTGTCACAGAGCCACCAAATCCCCTTTCTGTCTAGGTGTTCTTGGAGCCCCAGAAGACCATCTGTCCCCGTTACTGCCGAGTCCCCACTGCCCAGCACAGTGCGTACTGAATCAGGGGTCTGATGCACTGATGCTGTGTGTGCACACACAGGCACGTGTACCTTGTGGCTGCAGGGTGACATATCTCATAGCTCCTGCCCTGCACAGGACACCAGGATTGGGAGCAACCCCCTTCCCCATCACCAGATTCCCAGACACTTGCTCTCAAGTACAGGGTCCTTGAGCCCTACTTATGTCCTGAGTCATCCTGGGGTGGTTCATGGGACAGAGGGGCCCACCCCAATGGCTCTCAGCCTCAAGCAGGGGGACACAGGGCTCTCTATCCAGGGCCACCCCAGTGTCCAGTGAGGTCTGCATACAGTAGGGGCTTACTAAATGTGCACTGGGTGGAACATGCCTGAGGTACCCCCCTCAGGAAGGAGGAAACAGGACCCGAGGGCTCAAGATGCAGACAGACAGCAGGCCCCTGCTCCCATAGCTCCTTGTGGCTCAGCTCAAGGAAGGAGGCAGGGGGATATCATGGCCACCAGAGCCCCCATTCCCCGCCTGGTGGGGCTGCCTCCTTGTACTTCTCTGGACCTATAATCCCCTTCAGGATCACTTTTAGGCCCGAGCTGCCCCAGCCCTCTCCAGGCCCGAGGTGAGCCCCTCCGGTCAGCTGATGGCTGTGGGTGAGTCACAGTCTCTGCACCCACCCCCATGGGCCTGACTCAGGAAGCAGGGAGGTGGGGCATGTGAGGTCACACAGGCCCACCCCAGGGTGAGATCCTGGGGCCCAGCAGTGTCTGGGGAGGTAGACCATGAGCGGGACAGGCCTGGGAATGGGGGCAGGTGGGCAGGGACAGCAGACCTGCAGCCCCGAGAGGAACCCAGCCAACCAGCAGAGTGAAAAAGAGAGTTGTATTGATTTACAATGAACAAGATTTACAAAAGAGGTGGGGGTGCCCTAGCCGAGCTCCTTCTGGCCCCCCAGACTGGGCAGGGCCTCCAGGACAGCCTGTCTGACAGGCCAAGGCCAGGCCCCCCCGGATGCTGGTCCCCTCTGGCCACCTGGGCCTTGACGTCTGACATCCAGCTTGACCTCTGAGGTGAGGCCTGAAGCGCAGAGTCCACCCAGAGTGCTGGTGCCCACAGAGAGGGCCAGGTGAGGTCAGGAAGGCGTCGTACCGCTTTTCTCCTCCCGCCCAGGCGGGCAGACAGTCTGGGCACGAGGCCCTGGGGCTGCAGGCACTCAGACCCCACCCAAAGAGGCCAAACCCAGGTATCTGAGGCGGCTGCTGGTGCTCAGGAAGCGGGGGCTGAGGCCCGCCTGCCCCTGGCGACACGGGGTGGCGCCGGGGACAAAAGGCACGTTTTCGAATAGCTCAGGGGACTCCGCGCGGAGACAACGCCCGATGCTGGTTCTGCAGGAGGGGCTGGTGCTGGAGGGCGCCAGGCACTGTCACTCGGGAGAAAGATGCTACGTGGCTACCAACACTGAGGTGGGGTCCCTCTGCACCCACACTCGCACACCCCGGGGTGCTCTTCCTCTGCCGGCGAGAGAGAAGGGCTGAGCCCACCACCTCGGCCTTGTTCCCCAAGGGGGCCGCCCAATGCCAGCACCGGGCATCACACACCTGTGCCTCGAGACTGTGGTGGCCAGACCGGAGGTCAGAGGTCTGTGACCTTGTTCTCCAGTGCAGCCGCAATTTGCTGCAGGCGGAAGGCCAGCTGCATCTTCTGGGCAGCAGGGTCCTCCTCGAGGGCGTTGATGATCTGAGGGGGGATCACGTCAGAACACAGGCGGGGACAGGGCTGCCCAGGCCACCACCACGGGAGGCAGGACCTCCTACCTCATCGTAGTACTTCTGTGTGTACTGGTACAGCTGGTGCAGGGCCACAAGGGTGTTCAGGGAGTCCGTGTGTGCCTGGAGGGTGGGGGGCTGTGTGACCCAGGGCAAGGGAGGGCAGGAAGCTGTCCCCCAGTGGAGCAAGCAGTGGACCGTGACATGGGGGAAGGCAGACACCAAGGGTCACGGCCTCACAGCATTCAGATCTCAGGTACCCAGGGCAGCCACCAACAGATACGGCTCCCCATCCACGCAGGTGTGTGGCAGACATGGCTGCCTCAGAGCTGATACAGTCCCCACTGCGCATGTGGTCAGTCACACACCGACGCCAGCCCAACTGCCTCTCCCCTGGGGCACAACACCCCTCACCCTGCAGTGTAGCCTGCTGCCCCAGGGAGGGGCCTTGGGTGCGCTCCCTGAGCCCCTTACCCGGGAAATCTCTGCCAAGTGTGTGTTCATGTCCTGGTCACTGACTTGCACCATCTGTCTGATCCCCTTGTAGTAACTGTGGGAAAGGGTGGAGGAAGAGTGGGTTTCAAAGTCTGGATGCAAAGCTGCCCACCAGGGTGCTCCTCCCAGGGTCCCCGCTGGGTGGGGGTCACTCACTCCTCCACCATCTTCTTGTAGGTAGAGATCTCCTTGGCGTAGAGCAGTTTGTTGCTTGGAGAGTCCTGTAAGGTCAGAGCCAAGTGATGCCCAGGCCGTCGCTGCCCACGGGCCCCTGCCCAGCTAGACCTGACCATGCTGACATCGGTTTGTACTGTGCAGTGAAACTCACTTTCTCTGCTGTGCAAGGGAAGGGTCTCCATGGAGGGGAAGGAGGGCAGGGCCGCGGGAGCCTAGGCTCTGCCTGCCACACCCGGTTACCTTGCACCTGTCTTCTCCTGAGCTCCAGCTCCAATTGTGCAAATCCACACCCCAGACAAACCTGGCACATCCCCTCAGGGCCACGGCTCCCCCCGTGGACACTGCTGTGTCTGGGACCTCCGAGCCTCCGGGTGAGGACCAGCCCCCCCCCCCCGCCAGGACTGCCGCAGGGCCACTCACACGGCTCAGCTTGTGCTCCGTGCGCGTGCAGGCGTCCATGAAGGTCTGCGCGATGACGGACAGCGAGGCATCCACCACCTCGTGGACGTGCACGTCGAAGATGAAGTGGGGGTTCTTCAGGATGTTCACCCAGAACCGGAGTGGTAAACTGAAGCACAGCGACAGTGAGGTGAGGGGCAGCTGAGCCGGTGGGGGAGGGGGAGCAGGCAGCAGGATAGAGGAGCCCCCACCTGTTGGTCTTCCAGATGTGGATGGTGTCCTCGTCCTTGATGTCATGCTTCTCCGCCTGCTCATCCAGGAAGTCGAAGAAGTACTTGACCGCAGGCGGCACTGCGTGGACGGGCGCCAGCACGCTCTGGAAGAAGTTGTCCACGAACTGCTGCAGTGTGCCCTGTGGGGAGCAGGAGGACTTAGCGTTCTGCCCGACACCCGCTGCCAGCTCCACGCCCGTGCGCCATCCTGCGCCCACCTTGACCGAGAGCAGGCGGGTCAGGTAGATCTCGGTGATGGCCTTGGTGCGCTCCTTCTCCTTCATGCTGCCACGCTTGGACTTGCCCTCCTCCACCTCATCCGTCGGCCGCACCAGGTGCCACACTCGGTTCTCATCCTCCAGGAGGGCGTGGCCTGTGGGGAGGGCGTACTGAGGGGCGAGGCCGGGGCCCGGGGCCAGGTATCACGCTGGGCTTGGCAGCCCCCAGATGGCACCACGAGGTGGACACTGGTCCAAGCTGACCAGGAGCCAGAGCAAAACAGGCAAGGGGAAGGAACTCACGCTCCCCAGGCAGGTCCTGCTGGCTGTCCTCGGGCTGCTGGGAGACCCCCACCTTGGATAGAATGAGCGTGGCTCCATCCCGGACCTGGGGAGCATGGTGGTCACCAGGGCAGCCTCGACCCCAGGCCCCTGCCCTCGAGGAAGGGGCCTCCCTGCGCTGCCCCAGCACTCACGTTGTAGTGCATGAGGGTGTTGATGCGTCTCCACCGGCCCTCCCGCTGGGACGTCAGGTCCAGGTCAGAGAGGATCTGGGCTGTGGACCCAGGGCGCCATTCTGCGGGACGACACAGCCCAGCTCTGGGAACCCGGCCACAGACCACCCTGCAGGGCTCCCTCTGCTACCCCCACCGTGCCTGCCCAACCGGGGCACAGAGCTGGGCACTTGGGGCCCGTGCTCACCGAGGACCACACTGTCCACCTTGGGCCAGCGGGAGCAAGGCTGCGTGCGGTACACCTGGTCAATGATCTTCTCCTTGACCTGGGAGATGGTGTCGCAGTTGAGGACCTTGACAGGGATGGCGTCAATCCCTTCGTCCTGGACGATCACGCTCACCGTCTGCCGGGGACACAGGATGAAGGGCCAGTGGGCAGGGGGTCCTGGACATTCCAGCCAGGGAGGTGAGTAGCACCCAGCTTGGTCCTGGGACGGGCCAGGAACCCGGTCCCCGGCCCTTGGCCCCGAGGCTCACCAAGGGTGCGTACTCCACGTCGTCCCCCAGCAGCCCCGTGTCATTCAGGGTGTACTTGGCCTTCTTCAGCACGGCGTCCACCGGGCCCTTCTCCACCTGGTGCTTGATGGCCTTGAAGAGCTTGTACAGAGGCTCGCCGGCACTGTCCTGGGGCAATGTGGGCAGGCTCAGCCTGGGTGCCGCCGCCAGGGCAGGTGGATGTTTGGGGGATAGCAACACCTCGCCCCTCCCTTGCCCCAGCCTGCCACGTGAAGCCCACCTTGAGGTACTGGTACAGACAGATAGACATCCAATTGGACAGCATTCGCTCCACCACCGTCTCAGACCTGGAAGTATAGACACAGCCCAGCTCTGGGAACCCGGCCACAGACCGCCCTGCAGGGCTCCCTCGGCTGGATGCCCAGGTCCAGTGAGCAGTGAGCCCAGCCCCCTTGAGGGTGGGCACATCACCCTGTCCTACAGAGGACTGATGCTGAGAGGAGGCAGCTAAGAGACCAGCCATCTCTCCAGGTGTCCCTCTTCCCAGGTGCCCGAGGAAGCTGTGCTTCCGGTATCTGCCTCTGTGCCCCACCCCACGCCCCCACACACCTGCGCAGCATCAGCTTGGGGTTCTTGGCCACCACGTACTGCTCCATGAGTTCCAGGAAGAGGGTGTGCATGATGTCAGTGTAGTACTCCAGCTTCCCGTGCAGGGCCACCGTCAGCAGCGATGCAAAGTAGACCTTGGCTCGCGCTGAGAACTCCCGCTGGTTCTCCAGGGTGTGGATGAACTGTGGGGGCGGCCGTTCAGAGCCCGCCCGAGCCCCGCCCGCCCGCCCACCCAGGGGTGCCACCCTGCCAGCTCACGTTGATGAGGAAGGACTTGCTGTTGAGCAGGTTGGAGAACTGGTAGAGAGCCTGCTCCACCACGGGCCGCCGCGACTCGGGAATGTCCAGCTTGCCCGTGATCATCACGTCCTTGTCGCCGTCCTTGGAGGGCAGGAAGAAGACGCGGTCGGTGTAAGTCTTGTAGTCCAACACGGGGATGCCGGCCTCATGCACGTCGCTGGTATGGTCCTCCATCTCGATCATCAGGTCTGGGGGGACAGCACCGCTGACATCTAGCGCGCCCCGGCGCTGCGCGAGGGCGGCCTCCCCGTGCGCCCCTCCCAGCCGCACCTGTGAACTCCTTGCAGCAATCCCACAAGCCCCCTCCCGGTGCCCCCTGAGCCGCACCTGTGAACTCCTTGCAGCGGTCCCGCAAGCCCCCTCCCCGCGCGCCCTGGGCGGCACCTGTGAACTCCTTGCAGCGGTCCCTGCAAGCCCCCTCCCCGCACCCCTGGGCCGCACCTGTGAACTCCTTCTTGCAGCGGTCCCGCACGCTCTCCTCCAGGCCCTCCAGCTGGGACTTGATCTTCTCATACTCCCGCTCAGCCTGCTGGCTCTTCCTCCTGCGCACAGGGAAGCTGCTGGGACCTGGCCCGGGGCCCCTGCTGTCTACTGGGCGGGGGTGTGGCCAGAGGGCTGCGGGCGGAGTTGGGGTGGCGGCGGCCAAGGCTGCAGGAGGGGCTCACCAGTAGCAGTAGACAGACACAGCGATGATGAATACCATGGGCACTATGACCAGCGGCAGGATGAGGCTGAGCGGCACCTCACTCACGCGGCTGTCGTACTCCACGCGGCCCAGCACCCACTCCCGGGAGCCGAACTTGACCTGTGTGGAGGGGAGGGACTCAGCACAGACGGGTATGGCTAAGACGGGCGTCCAGCACCTCAAACGCACAGCCTGCGGCCCCGCCCCCCATGCACAACCCCACCCCCACGCACAGCCTGGCACCGCGGCCCCAACGCACAATGAACTCTGGCAGGTTGAGTGTCGTGTCTCGCTTCTGCCGCCGCTTGGGTGGGGGCTGCACCTCCGGGGGTTCACAGTACAGGTCGGTCTCGGTCAGTGTTTTCATGATGCAGCGCTCGGCTCCCACGAACGCTTCGGCCTCATGGAGCGTCATCGCCTTGTTCAGGTTGGTGCCCTGGGGGTGGGGGTGGGGAGTCAGGGCCCAGACCTTGAGTGGCCTGCCCACATGCGCCTGGTCAAGACCCTGACTCGGGACTGCAGCCGTTCCGCACCTGGGCGTGGATGAGTTTGTTGACCTGCTTCTTGACGCCCCCTGTGAAGTTCTTGAAGGTGGGATCAGCCACGTACTCGAAGGCCCCAGCCTCGGTCCTGAGCAGGGCGCGATGCCCGTCCATCTGGATGAGTGCCGTGAGGTTGTAGGCCTCGGGCTCCTCGGGGACGGCCGGGGACAAGAACACGACCCTGGAGTCATTGTAGCGCGTGTACTCCGTGCCCACAACCTGCAGGTCAAGGCCAGGCCGTCAGGCTGCTTGGCACAGGCCCCGTCCCTTCCCAGCTGGTCCCCCGCGGCCGCAGGACTGACCGTTCTGGAATACAGGGGCCCAGTGTCCCGCCGCCGGCGCCGCCAGGACTGCAGGGGCTCCGCTATGACCACCATGGAGAAGTTCTGGATCAGGCTGAAGCCTTGTCCCATCACGCTGATGCTCCGGCCGCCACTGGGGGTGGGGTGGGGTGGGGGCGTGCCTGAGTGGGCACAGCTGGGCCAGGGCAGTACCCAGCCAGCTCCAGAGCAGGCGCCCTGTGAAGCCGTACCCCCACCCCTATGCTGGCCAGGGGGTGGGCTCAGGAAGGGCGGGGTCGCAGTCCGTGACCCCACACTGTTTTGGGTGCACACGCAGGTCCCTGTGAGCACAGGCCTGCTGTAGGGAGGGGTGTGCTCAGAGCACATGTGACCATGAGCACTGCCACTGAGTTAGGGGTGTCACTGAGCTAGGGGGCCGTGGAGCTTCTGGGGATGCCGTGGGGTTTTACAGAGGCTTCCTCCTGCCACCTAGACCAGCCCAACTGCATCCTCACCAGGGAGTGGCACGGGGTGCTTGGGAAGTAGCGAGGGGTGGGTGTGGCATGGGGTGCCTTGCTGGCCGAGGGGAGCATGGTACAGGTGGTGCACCAACCAGGGAGGCAGGGAGAGGCTGGCCACACCTGGCAAAGCTCCGCAGGGGCTCGAAGGCCCGCAGCACGGGGTTCTCGGAGTAGGTGAAGGTGATTCCAGGGCTGGGCACGCGGGAGCCCCCGTAGTAGATCTCCAAGGGCAGCTCTCCCAGAATGGCCTGGGAGCCGGTGACACACTGGAGCTGTGCCCCAAACTGCGTCCTGGAGGTGAGGGTTGCCAGTCAGTGTGGAGCTCACCCTGGGACCAACCCAGCCCTGGGCTAAGGGTCAGTGGGTCAGGGTGACCGCACTGTTCCCTCCAGAACACACTCGGGGTCCTGATCAGGACACCCCCACCGTCTCCAGGGCAGACCAGAGCTCCGGTGGCCTGCAGGTGACACCCACACATTACAAGGGACGTCATTGATGGTCACCCGCACGTCTTCCTTAGAGCCCGTGTCCAGGTGGATGCCGTTGATGGTCAGTGTGGTGCCGCCTGCCTGTGGCCCCTGCTTCGGCTCCACACTGAGGGGCTGGGGCTCCTGGGAGAGAAAGGGGTGCATTCGGGTCAGGGCTGGGTGGCAGCCCTCCCTACCCCCAAACCTTGACTGTTGTCAGAAGGTGGGAGGAGCACAGCTCCCAACAGTCCAGGAATCAGCAGCGGCCAGGCCCACCCATGTCCGTTCCTACGAGACCCAACCCGGTTCAGGGGAGGCAAGTCCTTACCTGGTAGGTGAACTGGACGTGGGGTGGAGAGTGGCCCAGTTTCCCATTGATGTCCACCTCGACACCCCCCGTGAGGGGCGCCTCTGTGGCCTCGATGGCACACACGATCCTGGGTGGGCAACAGGCAGAGTGGGGACACTCTTCAAGGCCCACCCCAGGCCCCGCCACACCCGTGTCCTTCCTCTCCATCTGTCTGTCCCCTGGCCCCCCAGGGTGGGGACTGGCCTGGCCAATGGAGCCCAGGCCACGGGCTGTTCACTCACCGGGTAGACACGGAGTACTGTTCTGGCTCAAAGGCACAGTTCTGGCCAGCCACCGTGATCCTCTTCACGTCATCCGCTCGGACTCCCAAATTTGACCCGAGGATCGTGATGCGAATGCCCCCGCCCAGGGGCCCTGTCTCCGGCTGGATCTGAAATCGGCAGAGCCCGGCTCAGGCTCGAATCCCTCCCCGCCCTGCTGGGGAGGCCCTAGGGGCACTCACCTTGGTGATGACGGGCGGCGGGCACTCGGAGGTGGCGTTGTTGCACAGGGCCTCGTACACACACCTGTTCTGCCCACTGCACCACACGCACCTGTAGGCGGGGTCGGCGGCCAGGCACAGGCTGCAGTCGCTGCGGCCGAAGGAACAGTTGTAGAGGGTCACTGTGGAGGGAGAAGCCGGCGGTCAGCAAGGCCACCCCCCTCCCCACTGGGCCCCCAGGCCCTGCCAGCTCCGCTGCCCTCGGCCACCCACCTTGGAGCTTGCTGTCAATATTCTTGCCGTAGGACTTGACATACAGGTGCAGGGGCAGCGTCTCATTCTCATCATGGGACAGCTGGGGGGGGCACAATGCACTCTGCTCCCTCCGAGCCCCAGAGGGTACCCACCATGCCCATAAAGACCTGTGTGGGCCCCTCATACCCGAGGGGAAGCAGGGGAGGGGCTAGAGTCTCAGGCACCAGTGATCACTCTGCCTGGCCCGCCACCCCTGCTTCCTCATCACCGGAAGCAACCGGGCTGCCCCTAGGGCCCACCCTCGAGGCCCAGCACCCTGCCCACCCTGGGAGCTGTACCTTTGGGGTCTGAAAGAAGAAGGTTCCTGGCTCCAGCGTCTTCACCGGCTCCTCAAACTTGGGCAGGTCACTGCCCACAAACAGGGAGGTGTCCTGCAAGGCCGTGCAGTCAGGACACACTGGACAGGCCAACCCTTCCCATCCCACTGCCCCGAACCCCACTGCTCATAGTGCTGGTGCCCTGTCTGTACCCCACGACCCCGGGGCCGGGCGTAGGCACTCCTAACCCACCGCCCACCACAGCCCAAGCTGAGCAAATCATCCCGCTCTCTCGAAAAGTGGCACCCCACCGCCTAGCCCCCCGACAAACTCGCCCACCTCCTTTTCTCTATTCAAGTTGTCAAGGCCTCTTCACCCCCCCAACTCTCTGCCTCCTCCTGTCCCCAACGCAGTGTTTACGAAGCGGCTAACTGATGTGCTGAGCCCAGACCAGAGGCCTGCAAGAGGCCCAGGTACTCAAACTTCCAGGGTGCAGGATGGCTCTGAACAAGCCCCACGGATGGACACCCTGCTGAGCACAGGCCTTTCTGCACCGGTCAGCCTGGTCGCCAGGGCAGTACCCCACCAGCCCCCACCTTCACTGTGTCCAGGTTCCTGCCTTGGAAGGTCACGTCCGTCCTGTGGTTCATGGGGATGACCAGTGGGCTGGGGTTCAGGAACTGGGGGCAGCTGTCCTCCTGCAGAGGAAGGCTGGTCAGGGGCCACGTGGCCGTGGCGGGCAGCCCCCCCCCCAGCCCCCACGGCCCCTCACCATGTGAGCGCGCACAATGCCGTCCTCGGGGTTGGGCGAGGCCTCCCGACACTCGTGGTAGCGCAGGACCCACTGGCAGGTCCAGCGGTTGCTGGCACAGGAGATGCACCTGGGGGAGGGTGGTGAGCAGTTGGGGGCTGCAGCAGGGGCGGGCTGGCGGGCGGCAGGAGCTGGGGGCCGGGCAGGCGGACACTCACGGCAGGTTCTTCACCAGGGTCATGGCCTCGTGGCAGTCATAGAAGGGATACTGGTAGGAGGTGAGGAAGACGTCACTGTGTCTGAATCTGAGCTGGATCTCCACAGCCACGTGGTCTGCAGGCGGCAGACAGGAACGGTGTCAGGAGGGGCCAGAGGCCAGGGTCCCGCTGTCATGGCAGGGGTGCGGGACAAGAAGGCCCGAAACTGGGCCTCTGCCGGCCCCAAGTCTTTGTCCCATCGTGACTCCCAACAGGCCATCCAGCACAAAATCTGAGCCCGCGTGTGGAGACCCTGGTGTGTGGGGGGGCCCAGTGGCTCAGCAGGCCTCCCCCACCCCCGCCATCAGATCGTGGCTCAGGTGCCAGCTCCCAGGGCTCTGTGCCGTTGGGTTTTCTGTCCCTGCAGGATGCCTTGGTGTCTGGGGCCGAGTGCCTGCCAGGTCCCTGCACGTCACCGTACAGCTGCTGTGCCAGCCAGCCACCCTCCACTGGCCCCGAATGCTCGGGGGATGAAGGCTTGGCACCTGCCCTGGCCCACTTTCGGAGCCCAGCCGCTGGGGACAGCCTCTCCTGTCTCAAGCTGGAAAGGGTGTGTGTGTGGGGGGGGTTGTCCTGCGCAGATGGCAGAGCGCAGGGCCTGGCACCTGGGTGGTGCTACCGTGTGACAGTGCACGGAAGGGCGCAGGAGTCCCTCACTCATGGCCCTGGCGTGGGGGTGGGCGCGGACAGTGCACAGCCCGAAAGGCCCTGGGCATCCAGAACCCCGACCGCGCATGGGCCTCTGCCCGGCTCCACCCTGGCAGGTGCCATCCGCCCCTCCCTCCACCTCAGCCTGCAGCCCTGGGACTGGGGCACAGGAGGGAGAAGGGCCTGGTCACCCGAGGATGGGCTCACCCTGGCCAGACGGTGTGCTGGGAATGCTGCTCGGGGAGTTGCAGACAATGACGTCCCCATTCTCCAGACGAGCAGGGTGAGGCGGCGAGTCGCCGAAGAGGCACAGCAGCTCATCTTCCAAACCCAGGGTCGGCAGGGGGCTGACCGTCAGCTGTACCTGGGGGAGACCATGAAGCCCACACTGGACCCCTCGGCCCAGCCTGAGAGGGCTGGGCTGTCAGGGAAGAGGACCCCCCAACCAGAGCACCTGCCATGTGATTCATTCCCCAGAAGGCCCCTGCTCATGTACAGGGTGACTGCCTGGGGAAGGTACGAGAACCTGACGCCGTCACCCCGCCATCCTGGGACAGGTCTGCCCTGGACACCCAGGAGCCCACCAGGTCACAGGGGCCTGGGGTCTCCTCATCCTCAGCTCAGCACCCAGAGCCCAGGCTGGGAATGAGATGCTGTGAGGGTCCCCTGCTCGTCCCACAGCTCTGCTCTGCCCTACACCCTGCCCTGCCTGGCCACGCACCTCCCCCTGGGCCCGCCGGCTCATGTTCTGTGGCTGGGCCTCGGTGACAGTCACACAGGACTCCTCACGGCTCCAGAGCCAGTGTCCGCTCTCCTCAGCCCGTGGACACTCGGCCCTCCTGGTGCATCTGCAGAAACGGGGCAACTTCAGCCCTGACACTTGTCAGCCCCAGGGTGGGGCTGCCACCTGGACCTCCAGGGGGAGCTGAGGGCCCAGGTGCTCACCGGCCCTTGACGATGCACCAGCCGCAGTAGGGGTCCTGGGAGCTGAGGCACTGGGTACAGTTTAGGTAGCTTGCACACTCCTGCACGGGAAGCCGGAATACCTGGGGACAGCAGGGTGGTGAGCAGGACTTCGGCCACCAGGGTGACAGGCCAGCAGACACAAGGACCCCCCTCGGACCCCAGAGTTTCCTGGGACCATCAGCTTGACTCCACCTATACCTGAGCCTTACAAGCCTCAGATGCCAACTCAAGGCCTGCCACAAGGGCTCCGGGCAGCGGCTGTACACCAGGCTCCGAGCAGCCCCAGCCCTGTGGCTGTACCTGCCCAGCAGCAACGGTGCAGGGTCCTAGGAAACCATGGTGCCCGGGGTCCTGCTTCCCCTGTACCAGCAGCCCAGCCCCTCTGACCCCACTGCCTGGGAGACACCCTTGGATGCCCAGAGGCCAGCTTGAGGGGCTCCTACACCAGCCCCTTGATAAGCCAGGGAGCCTGTCCTGTACCCCCACTGTCCAAGCTCACAGAGACTGCACAGGGTCCGGTCCCTTGATGCTCTGTCCACCCTCGGGGGGAAGCCCATTCAGAGAACCACCCCGACCCTCCCATCAGGATAGGTCTGAAACAGGACCAGAGACACAGGACAGAGCTGCAGAGGTAAAGAAGGTGCTAGATAAAGGGTTGGAGCTGCTGCCAGGAACCCAAGAAGGGGGCTGGCCCCTCCCGGTCCTCGTCTGCACCCCTCCAGGCCGATCGCAGTGGCCCGGCCACAAGGCCCCTCCTCAGGGCCTCCGCAGACCTACCTTGTCCTGGGTCATGACGTACAAACTGGCCCGATCTGCAGACAGCACCATGTCCTGCTTGACCCTCTTGTTGATCTCCACAGGGATGGAGCCATACTCCACGAAGCTGCCGTTGGGGGCCAGGTACACCTTCGGCACGAAGGAGGTGCGTGAGGGTGGTGTTCTTGTGGAGATGGGCCCTCCAGCCCCCCTCAGCCTCCCCCCCGCCCCTGCCCCAGGCTTCACCTTGAGGACCTGGCCGTCGGAGGTGCCCAGGAAGGCAATGGTGTGATTGTTCTCAGTGGTCACTGTCACAGCCGTTAGGTTCAGGCCTCCACGCTGCAGCACGGCCTCGGCTCTGAGTCCATCTCGGCTGCCCAGCGGGTAGGGCAGGTGCTCCGAGCCACACAGGAAGCTGTCGCTGGCACCCTGTGGACCCCATGTCAACGTTGGGCACAAACACCCCCAACCTACCTAGGAGGCCTCTCCCCACCAGGGCTCCCAGCACTCTGTGGCCCCACACACATCCCCGAGAACAAGGACCATTCAGGCAGGGACCCTGTCCGCATGCCCACGACTGCACAGTGCACGGGCCTCCCCACCTGGCTGCAGACACCACATACATGTGCCCGCTCACAGGGCCGCGCCAGCAGACGGACCTGGACGTGCTCGCGAGCAGCAGCCACTCGCGGGCCTGTGCAGACGGGTGTGGTCCCAGCCCGTGGGGGGACCCGCTGAGGCCACGCACCTGACTGTGGCCGCCACACTGAATCTCGCCCTGGAAGGGCTTATAGAAGGGGTCGTCGCCGGCCTTCCAGTTGCCCATGTAGCAAGCGTTGCGGATGTCCTGCATTCTGGTGTGGATCTCGCCCAGCGGGAAGAGGCAGAGGCCTGAACGGGGTCCCCTGCCCTTCTGGTCATCCCTGGTGAAGACGGTGTAGAGCACCCTGCCGCTGGCAGAGGTGGCTACGAAGGCTGCCAGGCAGGTGCTGAAGGCGGGGGTCTGGGTGTTGCCAGGGTCGAGGCACTGCAGGTCCACCTCCAGGTAGGAGTAGTAGGAGGGGTCGTGCTTGCACATGCGGGCCAGCAGCGTGCGGTTCTGGGGCGGGTGCTTGTCTTGCTGGTTGAAGACGAAGAACACGTAGAGGCTGTCCTCAAAGGCGGCCACGAACTGCTGGGTGTTGGTGGACAGGTACCCGGCCTTGTAGGTGGCGTGGTCTGTGTAGGCCTCGAAGGCCTCCCTGCCCTTGGCCTGGTCCAGCAGGCGGGTGCTCACGATGACTCCGTTGTCATACGGCCCGTTGCCTTTACCCACGAACAGCACACGCAGGCCCCCGGGCTGGGTGTTGCTCACCAGGCCCACCGTGGCCACACTCTCGTCATTGCTGGCCACGAAGGACTTCTCGCCACTGCTGTCCTCGTAGAAAAGGCGCACGGAGATGTTGCTGAGGGCGCGCAGGGCACAGATGCCCTTGAAGAGGCTGCCGCACTCGACCAGGCGCTGCCCCTGCAGGTCCAGCAGCAGCAGCTGGTTGACGTTATCGGTCAGCACGGCCTCGTGGCACTGGCTGGGCTCGATGGGCGGCGTGCACTTCTTGTTGTCCAGAAACGGGCCAGTGGTCACCTGCTGCTCCAGGTGCAGGTCGGCGCTCAGCTGGTAGAGCTCATTCACGGCCCCCAGGTACACCACCCCCGACGTCTCATCCACGACCAGGTGGTTCAGCTCCGTCTTGCTGTGGAAGAAGTCTAGCTTCCGGGGCCGCAGGCCTGCACTTGTGCCCACCAGGCCCAGGAGGGTCAGGGCCCAGACCGGCAGTGCCATCACCCCCGGTACCCTGTGAGAAGAGAGGAGGGTCAGGGCGGCCCCTGCCTGGAGGATCCGTCCTCGCACAGGAAGCTCCCCCTCAAAGGTCAGTCCGGATCCCTCCATTTATTTTTTTTTTTTAATTTATTTTTTTTTTCTTTCCATTTTTTGTTCAGGTAGAGTGGAAGGGAGAGAGAGGAACAGAGAGAGAGAGAGAGAGAGAAACATCCATGTGAAAGGGACACATCGAGTGGCTGCCACCCGCACAACCGACCAGGGCCGGGGACAAACTGCAACCGAGGTACGTGCCCTTAGCGGGAACCGAACCCGGGTCTCTCAGGACCGCAGGCCGACGCTCCAACCGCTGAGCCAAACTGGCCAGGGCCGGACCCCTCCATGTTGGACCCTACCTGAATGACCAGAACACAGTCTGGGGAAGGGCATGGCTGCACAGTGTGCCCTGAATGTCCAGGCCCTTCCCTACCCTCCTATGTATGGCCAGACACACCCAGTCTCATCTCCAGGACCATTGCCCAGCCGGTCACAAGATGGTCACTCAGTAGTCTGAGCTATGACCAGGGCCTTGGCACCACAGCTGCCTGCTGCGGGCACGGGTGTGGCTGCCCCAGAGCACTGCACCCTGGCCTCCACCTCCAGGTTCTCAAAGCACCTGCAGGCCCACCTACAAGACAACTGAGCAGCTCCTCCAGAAGTCTCCCAGGCACTCATGCATGTGCCCACCCCCACGCCCCGTGACCCCAAGAGCTCCAGGCGATCTGAGGGGCACTGTCCCTAGCCCATAAGCCCTATCGGAGGGCCAGGCTGACCAACGGCCCTGGGCATGCAAGCAGGTGGACCGCACACCTGTCCCATACCTGACCCGCAGGAAACAGGAAACCCAAGCTGCAGCTGGAAGGGCGCTGTTTATAGGTGCCCACCACAGCCGCTTGGCCTGCAGCCCGGCCCTGCCTCCCTGATCCTCTCCGCACCCCCCCCCCCCAAGGAATCAGCAGAGGAGCCAGCAAAGGAGGGCCACCTGCTGGGGCAGGCTGCATCTGCGTGCAGGGGTCATCTGAGCACATGTCCCTGCATGTACTCAGATCTACACATGTCCATGTGTATGAGGGATAAACTGCTGAGGCCGAGGCTGGGCTAAGGGTCCCCAAATTACAGGATGGATTCAAGGCCCCACAAGTGGTCCCAGAAACATACACGGTTCTCTCGCCCCAACTCGGAGAGGGCCATCCTGCCTCCAGGCCTCTTCCACCTTGGGGTAGTCATGCCTTCATGCTCAGGACACCACTCTATCCTGGTCAAAAGCCCCCACACCAGCCCCTACTGCCACCCCCACAGGCTACCCCCTCCTGATGTGTGCATGAGCCCCCCATCCCTGGACTGGCTATCATCGCCTCTGCGGGCACCCGTGCCAGGGTCATGACATCTAGGCCAGCCCTGTCCATGCCATGTGCCTGAGGGTGGCAGTGAGGGACCCAGGCTGATCTCCCAGGCTTCCAGTGCAGCCCACCCTGCACCTCCAGAACAGCTCCTACACTCTTCTTGGCCACCTCAGCCATCGCCTCCCTTGAGAAACAATGACTTTTCTACTCCCCTTTGATGCCCCGTCCACTGCCCTGCGCCCGTCTCCTCCAGGAAAGCAGAAATGGATCTGCTCTGCTCCACGGTCAGGGGAACTGTTTCTCTGGGGCACTGGCTTTGGGCAAAGCTGTGTTTACTGGACTGACTGAGCTGGTTTTTTCTCATGGACCCTGTGATTTGCATATCAAGTCAGCTTTCTTCTTTGCTTGGGCCACTAGGAAGCCCCCTCCAGTTCCTGTGTCCGCACAGAACCCCAGCTGGGCACTGGAGAGCTTTCTTGCCTAACCACTGGGAGAGGAGACACAGCCAGGCTGGAGGGAGGGCATCCAGGAGGGGACACAGCAGGGACCTGGGAAGAAGCCCCTGGTTGCCTGGGGGCAGAAGGCTGGGCAGGGAGAGGGGAAGGGGACCCGAAGGAGGGCTGTTAGAGGAGGATCCCGGGTGGGGAGAAGACGGTGGCTTTGGTCAGAGTCGGGAAGATTTCACAAGCCCCTCAGGACTGTGTAGCAGGATGGCCACTCCTGGGGGGGAGGGGTCCCTACCACTGCAGACTGCCTCTGGGTTTGGCTGCCTGTTCAGGAAAGAGGACAACGCAGCTGGGGAAACCTCCAGACTTGGAGCCGGGATGCCCGTGACTCTGGGGCACCAGCTGGTACTCACTCCTGTGGGCCCTCCAGGAAAGGAAAGGGCCCGGGCAGGAGCATACCGCCTCCTCCCCCCAGGGCCCAAAGTCCACTCTGTAGCGCCGACCTAGCCCCTCAGCCTCAAGACTAGGCTGTCCCACCCGGCCAGGCCCCACTCACCCGAGCGCCACACTCACCCGAGCGCCCCAGTCCAGTGTGCCCCAGTCTAGTGTACCCCAGTCCAGTGCGCCCCAGTCCAGTGCGCCCCAGTCACTGTGGCTGAACTGCCTGCTTGGCTGCTGGCTGAGCCAGGAATGAATGGAATGTTACCCGGCCTGGGAGGGAGCTCAGGCGGCCAGGCAGGGGCGGGGCGGAGTCAGAGCTGCCGGAACCTAGGCCACCCCGAGCAGTGTGGATGGACACAAGCCCAAGGCCCCTCTGGTGGTTCAAGCACCCAGCCAGGATTTGAACCCAGAGCCAGCCGAGTGAGGGATAGCTTGGGTCACCCCACCCTTTCTGAAACAGCTCTCGGCTCTGGTGGCTGATGCTAGGCTCTCCCTCAACCCTACTAGCTGACACCTTTGTGGTCACATTACATGTGTGACCACATGTAAATGCTGTGGCCTTTCTCTAGTTCCCCTAGGGTGGGTGCCCAGCCTGGTCCTCTACCCCAGGGCCCCCAGGACTGGCTAAATTAAGTGCTTCAAGAATACCTTGACCTTGCGTATGGTCAAGGGTCTGGCTCAGATATCAAGCCACTGCCCAGCTCACCCTGGGAGAGCAGGCCAGGGCCAAACCCAGGCTGCCAAATCCCTTCTGGGTTTCCGGCAGGAGGGCAGAGTGAGGCTCACACACCCCCGGCGGAGCCCAGGCTCCTCAGGTCATAGGAGGGACTGGGGTCACGCTCCACAGGCAGCAGCTCCCCTCCCCTTCTTTCACACACAAAGCCTCGGGTGACCTGCCTGCCAGGCCCAGGAGCAGAGGGTGACCCACCTGACCAGAGGCAGAGCTCAGGCCGAAGGCAGGACAATGCAGGAAGCGCCAGGCACAGCCAGTGAAGCTTCCTGCCTCTGGAGTTCCTGGAATGGGCGCTTCCTGTTTTGAAAGTGGCCAGGACCCCTGCTTACCGGGAAGCGGGCAGCGGGGATTTCCTCAAGGGCATCAAATGGCCTTCCTGGCTGAAGTCCGGAGGTGCACTTCCAAGAAGTCACACAAACTCCAGACCTCTGCTGGCCCGGAAAGCATCTGGACAGCACCCCTTCCCACTGAACCCAAACCCAGCACGGCAGGCAATGCCCAAACACCGCCCAGTCTCCCTGCCGATTCCCCACCCCCCACAGCAAAGCCTGGCTGAGGAAGCTGGGGACCTGGCAGTGGCGCCCACAGGCAAGGCACTTGGGTTTGAGCAGACATGTACACACAGGTCCCGGCAGGACCAGAGCCTCAGCACCACATCAGCCAGTGAAAGGCACCTCCAGCCTCCCTGCATGGCTGTAGCTCCCACTGCCTTCCCCAAGTGGGGCCCAGCTCCCACTCACCGAGGCTCCAGTAGTCCAGCTCAGTCTCTGCTTCCGGCTGGCATCAAAATTCTCTAGGAGCAAAGGAGAGACAGTGTCTCACCACAAGCTGGCCAGCTTCACCTGTCTCCTCTGCTCCATGTCTTGGGGTGAGGAGCAGTCCAGGGGACCCCATTGGCCTCTGCCATCCTGGAGCAGGAAACCGCCCCCCCGGGCTCCTCCATGCCCCTAGCCCAGCACTCCATTTGAGTGCACACACACCCACTTGGTCCTTCCAAAGACAAGCCTGACACTACCCTCTCTCCTTTGCTCAAAAAAGGCAGAAGAAAAAAGGGGAAGGAACAGCTTGTTAGCATTACAAGACTATTGGCACTGTCCGCCTTTTAAAAGTAGGTACATATATTACTCTGATTAAAATTAAAATTGTGCCCTGGCGGGTGGCTCAGTTGGTTGGAGCATTGTCCAACACGCTGAAAGTGGCAGGTTCCGTTCCCGGTCAGGGCACATACCTACATACCTAGATTGTAGGTTTGATCCCCAGTGGGGTGTGTATGGGAGGCAACTAATGTTTCCATCTCATGTCAATGCCTCCCCCCTCCTCTCTCTCGCTCAAAAAAAAAAAAAAAAAAAAAAAAGTAAACAAATAAAATCCATGAAAAACATTCTTGGATGAAGATTAAATAAATAAAAATTGCTTTAAAAAATGTGCATACCACGACCCCTGCAGTTCTACTTACTAGCTGTGTGACCTTGGACAAATTACTTAACTTCTCTGTGCCTCATTTCCCCATCTGTGAAATGGAGACAGTCATAGTGAGCTCCCCTAGGATTTGTAAGGACTAAAGGATTCATTCAGGAAAAGCCTCAGGGGAGCTTGTTACACTGTAGCACTCAGCAATGCTTGCTATTGTATCCTCTCCTGGATAAACACCCAAGTATACCCACAGGGAGGACCTGTTCAAGAATACTTCTCAGCATGGTTTATTATAGTGAAAATCTGGCAACCACCCAGCATCCAACCAGAGCACCTTGAAAAACCACAGAACTGATGCAGGTGGGTGGTCCGTGCTGACCCCCGTGGAGCCCAGAAGGCTATGCTCAGGATTCTAGGTGTCTCCACAGGTGTCTATGTGGGCACACCAGGATTTAATTGCTGGGCTGGTCTAGACACTTTCCTCCACACTGAAAATAGTCACGAAGCCTGAGGGCAGGGAGGCAGGGCTGGGACAGCAAAGTAACTTCATTTGCCACTTTGTGAAAAATTTTATAATATATTTATTTCATAATGGCACAGTTGGAGCATTGTCCCATGCACCAAAAGGTGGCAGGTGTGCTTCTCAGTCAGGGCACATACCTAGTTTGTGAGCTTGATCCCTGGTCGGAGCATGTAAGGGAGGCAACCAATTAAATTCTCTCTCCTCCCTCTCTCTCCCTCTCCCTCTCTCTCTCCCTTTCCCTCTCTCCCTCTTCTCCTCTCTCTAACCACATCCTCAGGTGAGAATTAAAAAAAAAAACACAACAACACAAAAAAACATTGATACATTACTTGACTAAATAAAAAAAGAGGTACATAATAATAATGGTTGCATGCCCCCTCCAACCTCCACTCGGCCTCAGTGACTCCACCTTCCAGGCCCTCAGAGACTCCCCCTCCTCAATCTCTCCAGACCTATCCCAGTCCCCACAGTCAGGCTCAGTCACTGAACCCAGCACCCAACAACTCCTCCACCAGGGTCACCACCTCACCCCCAGCCCCACCTGCCCTATGAGACACACTCCCCAGCAATGGTCACCCTCCACCTACACCCTGGACAGCAGGGATGCAGGCCTCATGCACAGGGACAGCAGCACTTCCTTTTGATGTCCTCAGCCCTGGCTGAGCAGGGATGGGTTAACCTGGTCAGAGGGATCCAGGAGTGTCCCCAAGTGGGGGCTGAGAGGTGTCCTACTCAAGGCGGCCTTCGTGAAAGAAGCAAAAACCACTCCACAGGCCACCGGGGGCCAAACCACGGGTGTCAGGCCAGGTAGCCTCCTAAGAAAGCTAGGACGAGCCTGGCCTCCAAGCTGCTGCAGGTGCCGATGGAGGCGACACTCGGGTACACAGCACACAGATGGCGCAGAGCATGACCCCATGGCACACCCCCAAATCCCCAGCCTTCCACTGGCCCATGCCCCTGTGGTGTGTCTGCAGCAGGCAAGGCCAAGGGAGACTGGCCTCTTCCACAGGACATGTCCCTGAGCCCGCACGGCCACCCACCCATCCTCCACAGGCTGGGCCCACATCTCAGACCCTCCTAGAGGCAGCCCATAGATTTCTCCTCCCAACACTTCTGCAGAATGAAACTGGACCCTCTCCTTCCTCAGCCACCAAGTCCTAGGGCCTTTCCTACCTCAAGGGTGCCTCTGTTCTCAATCACCCAGGCCCAGCTTCTCCCACCTTCCCCATCCCACCCCCAATAGCCAGCCTTTGTCTCCAGCTCTCAAAAGGGTCACTCTCATTATCCTCAGAAGAACACTGCTCTCATGAGTGTCCACTAGCCCCCGAGGCCACAGCTGGCCCCTCGTTGCCAGCCACACACACCTACCACAGCTGCACAGAGGGGTCTCGAAGCGCAGAACTCATTTGCTACCTGGGTTCGTGGGCTGTTGACAAAGCAATACTGTGTCTCAGTTTCCCCACGAGTCCCATGGAGGAAGCAACAGTACGGGCCTCCATGAGCTGCCATGCGGTGTGAAGGAACTTATGTGTGGAAATCCTTGTGGCTGGGCCTGCAGTGGAGGAGGTCCTCATGATGTCACCGCATCTCTGCTTTTGCTGTCCTGAGACACTCCTCCTGACCGGCCCTGCAGATTGTCATTTATCCTTTATGGTCTACGGACTTCACTGATGGGCCCTCCCTGAGCAAGGTGTAAACACAGGATCTGGCCAGGTGGGCGCCACATAGCGGAGGGAGCGAAAAGTATATATGCCCCCAGCAGCTGGTCCCCAAACTTACCCATAGTGTCTCCTCCCCCAGAGCGAGCACTAGAGGGACAGGGTCTGCCCAGGGAGTCAAGGCCTCTCTCCTCTACAGGTTCCACCTTCCTCCCACCAGCAGCTGATAGGCCCCGTGTAGAGGCGGGTTCTGCCCCCACCCCAAAGGCAAAGGTAAACAGGAGGTGCCTAACGAGGAAGGGCAGAGTCCAGCCAGGTCCCAGGGCTGAAAGCTGTCAGTTCCCCCTTCCCCAGGTCTCTGCCCCACCTGGAGGAAGGCTCTGGGGGACAGACTACAATTGGGGGCTCTTTCCACTATTTTCAAGCAAACACAGTTGGAGCAATCACTTTAGATTAAAACCAAAACAATGGAAGCCAGCAGGCCAGTGAAGGAGGGGTCCAGCAGAGGCACCCAAAGACCAAGGTGGGGACTCAGGCATGGGCAGACAGTGAAGGCTCAGCCAGGTAGGGACGTAAGGACAGCTACAGCCCTACACCCAGGCTGTGCCTAGGGCCCCTGGGACCCGAAAGTGGTGGGGGGACGAGAGAGCCGGCCCCTGGCAGAGAGGGTGGGGGCCGGGTCCTCACCAGGACTGGCCAGCGGACACCTGAGGGTGAGTGGCTGTCAGCACCTCGGCGGGCAAGGCCCACAGCGAAGGCAGGAACCGCCCCTCCCCCGCCGGGCAGCTGGCAGCCTGGGGACGGGGCCTCCGCTCCGGCGACGAAAATGCAAATCTGCAATTAGCCGGGAGCGTTAAACAATCAGAGGAGACAAAACAGCCGGGCAGCTCGCACCTCGGGCTCCGGCAGTTTTCCAAACGAGCCCGAGGGAGGGGTGCGAGGAGGGTATCTGCCCGGGGAGGGGAGGGGGTCAAAATTCACTGCCGGGAGCCGGGCCTGGCCGGGGAGGCCCGGCCAGGGAGGCCCGCGCTGCGCGCCCCTCCCAGACAGGCCCGGCGCCGGCGCCACCAGACTCCCCGGGGAACGACCCGGGGCCGCGGCCACTCTGGGGCGCCGCCCCTGCCCCAGCCGCACACGCAGAAGGGAGCACGTGGGCACCGCGCGAGCCTCACCCGCGACCCGGGACGCGCCGGCCCCCCAGTAGGAAGGACCGCGGCGGCCGCCTCGTGGGCACAGGGCACCGTCCCGCGGAGCGCTCACTCGGAGTCGGGCGCTGCCGGGCACCCCGCCCGCCATTACCTGCCCTAGGCCTCCGGGCTCCGCCCATGGCCCCAAGGTCAGTCCCAGGGCTCGGTCCCCACTCTACTGCCGGCCAACCATGCACGACTTTGGCCCCAGCGGCCGCCCGCCAGGCCCACGACCTGGGGCTGGGTAAGAGCGACCTGACTCACCTGTAGGGCCAAGGTCTCCCCGAACAAACACCTAGGAGGCGGGTGGGGCTGGGCGGGACTCTAGGGCCACACTGACGTTATAGCCTGTGCCTGGCGTCAGCGCCACCAGAGCCTCCCACAGGACCCCTCCCAGGTATAGGGTGTCACCCCCTCCCACCAGCCTTGGCTTCTGGGACTGGTTCCTCCCTCCACCAGCCTGGACCCTGGGCCAATTGTCCACCCGAGGCCTGGACTGGGGAGGGCCAATCAGTGTCCCCTGACTGCAGTCTGGGCTCTGGGTCCTAGCATGAAAAGTTACCCTAGGTGGGTGGCAGTGAGGTCACAGGCCCAAGACCCAAGGCCAAGGGGGGGTGTGCCCAGAGAAACCCCAGCTCCTCCCATCCCATCATCACCTCGGCCTGGGCCAGACAGCCCCGCCCCTCCAGGTCCCTGGGGATGGGGGGGACTTTGAGGCTTGAGGTCACAGTCACCAGGATATCTGCATCTAGCTTCAGTCCTCAGACATCTGAAGAGCTCACTTGGCAAAGCCAGAGGGTGCAAGCCCCGGCCCCTCCCCCCTCACAACTGCAGCCCCTGTAATTATGGGTGCCAGCTCAGACTGGGACCCCATGCTGCTGGCAAGAGGACCACTCTCCTGTCTCCACCACTGCCTAACTACGTGGCAAGGTGGCTTAGAGAAACCTGAGAACTACCAGGCCAGTGTGGCTCCGTGGGCTGAGCGTGGTCCCGTGGCCTGAGAGGTCCTGGTTCATTCCCTGCCAGGCTATGTGCCTGGGTTTCGGGCTTGGTCCCCAGTAGGGGGCGTGCAGGGGGCAGCGATCGATGTTTCTCTCTCTAAAAAATCAAGAAAAACATACTTTGAAAAAAGAAAAAAAGAAAAGCCCAAGAATAGTTTCAGTCAATTATTCTGTTACTCAAGAAGAGCCACGGAAGCCCCCCCTGAAGCCCTCTTCTTTCTCAGGACAAGCCACATGCAAAGGTTCTGATGCCACGCCCTACCCCTCCGCCAACCTGGAGATCCACCTCTCTCCTGACTGTCTCTCCAGAGTCCCACCTGGACACGGTGTGGGCCCCATCCCTGGTCTCCTCATTCCAGCTCCACCTCATGTCCCTCCTCTGCACAGCCCTCCCCTGACTTCCCTATGCTGGAGGGAACACCCAAACTAGGGCCTGGTGAGCCGTCCCATATGCTCAGCCCAAAGCTCCCGAGACATTCCGGGGTGCCACAAAAAGTGCTGTGTGCTGGAGGCCCGGT